TAACACTAAAGGAGAGGTATTCGAGTTTTAGTTCGATAAGTTCTAGACTAAAACTAGGCGGCATAACGCTACGAATAGTATAACGCCGATACGGCTTATAGCACTAAGTAACTACGATAAGGTCCTTAGACACGTTCTAGATTTAGTAGAAAATGATGTATACGTAAAGGACAAGGCTAGAAGGTTAGCATTATGCTAGGCGTCTAAGTTAGGTTATAGGAAGATAGTAAGTATACTAGTTAACGTAGGTGCTAATGTTAATGCTTAGGGTAGGGAGTATAGTAACGCGCTATAAGTAGCTTTATACGGAGGCTACGATAAGATCGTATAGACGCTAATCGATAAAGGCGCCGATGTTAATGCTTAGGGCGGGGAGTACAGTAACGCGCTATAAGTAGCTTCGTATAGAGGCTACGACAAGATCGTATAGATGCTGCTTAATAGAGATATAGATGTTAACGCCTAGGGTAGACAGTTTAGCAATGCGCTATAGGTAGCTTTAGTAAGAGGCTACGACTAGGTTATATAGACGCTAATTAATAAAGGCGCCGATATTAATGCTTAGGGCGGGGAGTACGGCAACGCGCTATACGTAGCATTAGTAGAAGGCTACGATAAGATCGTATAGATGTTACTTAAGCATCTTGCTATCGTCGATGTAGAAACGTTTATCCTATGCTTATAAAAGGCTCGTATAGGCGAGATCTTAACTTTGCTACCTTATGTTATAGCGTTATGTGTCGCATAGATAGGTAAGGATCATTTAAAGACTCTATTATACTAGGTAGTAGAGCTTAGAGCTAAGACCGTAGTAGAGAGATGTCTTAACCTTAGCGTAAACGTTAATGTCTAAGACTAATTTAGAGAGCTCGTACTACATTATGCTATAGAAAGCGGGCACCTTAGTATTATAGAAGCACTAGTAAAGGCCGACTCTAATAGAGATGTAGTTAATGCGTATAGACGGACGCCCCTTAAATGTGCAAAAGGAGTAGGCCCTAGCGAAGGACGAAAACGTTACCTAGTAGTTATTAACTATCTCCTATTATAGTATAGTATAGACTATAGCCTACTACTAGTTTAGTAACACACTATTTAAAACAGATAGGGGTAAGTCTTTCCTAAACACGATAGGTTACGCATATTATAGTCCTCTACTAAATAAGGCTACCCTACTTAGACCTAAGCTACATTTTAATATAGTTTCTTATATAGACCTTTACTATTACATTAGAGAGAACTAGGACTAGAAATATCTCTTATCCCGTAGTGTATTTAGGACTTTATAGCTTATCATTGTAGAATAATATAATTTGGACGTCGAGACTACGAATTGCACTATAATAAGTAGTTATCTAGTGCTCCTAGAGCTACGCGGAATTAAAACGTGTTTAACCCGACTACAATCCGGCCATTAGAGACTTACTATATAGATGCCTAACATAGTCTATACGTATCCTCTAATAGAGCTAGAGAATCGTAGAGCCGTAGTTTCTAGCGCCGTAGGAAAGAAGTAGCTAGGACTATTACATCGAAGACATAATAGGGTCTCTCCTATAACTAAAGGTCGTGCGTGTTTCCTACTTAATTATACTACCTTATAACCTAAGTTCGTTTAGGTTAATATATGTAGGTAACATTCGTATATTAGATAGGTCTACTATAGTAATAGTGTTCTAAAAATGACTATAAGTCTATTCTCTAGATAGCGACACTAGCATACTCCTTACTAGAGTTATCGACTATTTAAAAGGGAGTTTAATAATAAGCGATAAATGATGGCGTAGTAGATAAGAAATAAGACAAATAAGATCCATAATAGGTAATAGACGAGTAAAATCGGAACACTAAACTTTAAGCTAGATAAAGAGACTATGCCGATTAGTACCCTTAAGCAGCTTAGGCTATTTCTTATATACCTATGCCCGTACGCTACGTATATAACGTGCGAAACCCGCCCTCCTAGGCTTTAATAAACAAAAAGAGAGTAGCCTTATCTCTAGAGATATATAGAAAAAGAATAAAGTAAAGATAAGATAGTAAGGTGATGATAACGTAAGGCTTTTAAGGTTTTAATATAGGAGGATTTGACTAAAAAGCGTAAGATAACCTATAACAAAGCAATAGCACTAGTCGGAGGCTACGCTAGTATAAGAGGTCGCTAGCACGAAGCTATTAATAGAGTAACGCGTTAGCTAGGTCTATCGCGTACTAAGGATAGTATATACGTAGTTAGGCGTCGCTAGTACAAATCGGTTACGCTTTCGACAATCTAATAAGGAAGTAGAGATAGTAGATTAAGATAGAAAGTATTTATAGAAGTATTATAAAAGAGGAAGGATAGAACGTACGTGTCGCGTAAACGTCGTAGCTATCTTAAGTACTTCTTGTTAGAAGTTACTATTATAGCCTACGAGCCTAGTATATAGATTCCAAAGTACTGCTTTTACCTAATTATATAGAGTAGAGGCTTAATGGAATCGGTAGATTTCTAGCTCTATACTATACTATACTATTCCGCTACTTTTAGCTAAAAATCTAATCTATGCTAACTACCTATTAGAATAAGGCCTATTCTATTTCCGTCGTTGTTACTAATATAACCCTACTCTTCTTCTTAAATCCGAGACTTAGCTCTTATCTCTATAATTAGATCTAAACTAAAATTAGCGTACATAATTAGCTAAAATACGTATTAGTTAGTAACAGTTCATAAATAGCTTAAGATAATTAAATCAAATTAAATTAAATCAATGTACTATAAATTCTTTACGTATCTAAGATCAAATTAATATAATTTATATAGTGTTTCTATTGTTCTCGTATCTAGCGCATCGTATTAAACGAGAAGGGGTAGGCGCGTAAGAAGCCGCTAAGAAGTAGCTAGTCGATTCTTTCTAGCTACTAATAGTAACTAGCGTGTTAATAACGAATCCTATAAGCTCGACGCGCTTAGATAATCTTAAGGTTAGGTATAGTTCTTAGCACCGAACACTAAGAATCCTTGCCTAGCGATTAAGGAACATAATTAGAGCCTATCCCTATCGCTTAGCGTCGCATCTTATTATTTCGCGTCTTACCTACTAACTACCTAACTTATAGTGTATTATCTATCTATATTACTTCTATCGCTTATAACTACTTATACGTATACTCTCTAGGTAACGCTCCTATTCTTTTCTTTCCTAAAGTTAGGGTTACTCTTAAAGCTTAGTTAGGTAGTTAGGGTAGGTTATAGTTAGCTCTAGAGTCGCTTAAGCGTCGACTAGTAAGATAGTAGTTTTCGAAGGTAGGCCATCATTTCGAAGTCTAGTTATACTTCTAAAGTACTTCTAGGGTCTATAGGGTCTAGTCGCTAGTCGTTAAATGTAGCTATAAACTAAATTTTAGCGAGCAGATTAGCTAGTCTAATCTATAGGGGCTAGAAGCTAGCTATCGTTACGATTATTCTCTACTAGTCTGCCTTACCTTAATGTCTCTAGCGAGTTAGGGCTACTCTTAAAGCCTAGGTAGGAGGGTTTTGCGCTTCGTACGTAGGGTTCTTATTCTTACTAACTTTGTTCTTATACTTATCTTTAGCTAATAAGTGTTTTTATTTAGTTACACTAAATCGCATAGAATTAGCTATTATCGCTACTAAGGCACTTATTCTAATCTGTGTACTAAATTAAGATAGCTTCTTATCTTACTAATATACTATAGACATAATTATCGAAGGAGACACGTTTCATTATAAGCTTAGTACGCCTACACGGTTAATTAATCCTGCTAAGAAGGTGCCTATCTATCTTGTTCTTAATGCTAGCTATGTCTAAGAACTAGAAGTATGTAACAACGAAACAAAAGCCATTCCTTCTAGCATTACGAGTAGCTTCATCGAGCGGGCACTTTATACTTCGTTAGACGACATTATAGGGCTTCGGTTTGTTTTAAAACGCTACGCACCTCTAGTCACTCCCGACTCGATCTTACAAAAAAGACTATCTTCGTGTAATGAAATTGAAGCTTTACTGCGGATCGGGCAGTATAAAACATTTAAGGTCTACGTGCCGTTAAGCGTAATTAATAGTAAGCGTCTCCCGAGTCTCTATAACGTACTAGCCGAGGGTGCATTAAATCCTGCTCTAGAAGGCGTTATTAGGTCACTGTATCCGAGGACTACTAGTAAGCTCGTTACGCGTATCGACTAGTTATAGAGTTTGTATCCTTAGGGCCTACTACCCTATAATTAATTAACGGCTCTAGGGGCTAGCAAAGATGAATCGACGGGCTAATTAGACTTTAGGCTACCGAGCAGGTATAGAGCACGCATAAAGAGGCGTATATTATCTCCTGCATTACGTTAAACAGCTTCTAAGCGACAATTGTTAACGGAAAACCCTGTTCGCGAGCCCTAGGAGTTAGCTATTATAGCCTAGGGGGATAAGATAGCTACTCTCCGCGTAAAGCTTTCTACTTTACGTAAAGAGCAGCAAGTTTGGCGTACACTAGTGATCGATCTTGGGACTTAGATTAACCCGTTTGTTAAGAATAGACCTCGATCTTCACTAGACCTAGTCGCATACTGTATATCACCGACCTACTATGTCTTACATAATTAGACTAGCACCGTTAAGAAGACCATTAAAGACCGTCTTATATTGGTAGAAGATACCGTTCTTAACGAAAAGAAACAACGAGCATTATTAAGTGCAAATCTCGACCATAACAATTAATAGGTATGTATGTAAGGATACTACAGGTCGTTAACCATAAGACGATTTTATTCTCTCCGCGGATTGCACGTTAGCAATCGCGTCATAGAGTGCTATCCAGAAAGCTAGAGCGTCCGTAGAGAACCAAGCCAAACGCTAACTGTATCTCTATAGACTGAATTTCCTTACCCTTACCTATACTGTCCAGCGCCATGGTCCCCTACCGAAGTCAATACACCGACTGAAGTAAACACTCCCACTCGTGTCTCCAGCTCGGTCGGACTCAACACTCCAAACAACACTAATATGTCCTTCCAAGATCAAACTTCCAGCACCCGTTATCAGTCGTCACCACACATTCGTCCGACAGTCTTTACACGCGGGTCCAAGCTCAAGAAAGAGGATGTTTCGATGGTGCGGCACGTGCAGGAGATGATGGAGATACTACCCGATCAGCTTGTCCGCGAGATACTTAATGCACCAGGAATGCAAAACCTCCTTGCCAAACAACAAGAAGCGGAGCAAGCAGAAATTCCATCGGGCTCCGATGGAGTCGCTGTTACTAAGGTCGAACAAATCGTGACAGTTCGCATGCATAGATATGTTAATGACTGTCTTGGCCAAAAGATAAAGGAAGCTTTCAAGTCGCTCGTCCGCCAACGTCTCGATCGCCTCGTCCAAGATCAATTGCCCTTAGCTGCTAATTTGTTCCTCAATGGTGCCGTCGAAGGCTATCGCGATCAGTTCTACGAGGACTGCAAGATGAATGAAGCTAGCCTTCTTAAGATGGTTGACGAGGGTCGCACTCAGCTGCAAGACACAGCGAACGAGTGTACAACAGAGATTAAAGACTTAATACAGGATCAAATCGACGAACTCGAGTCTTGGAGCGATAAGCTTAAAGCCTCTGTCGGGGAGCAACTCGCTTGTCTCGGTTACTGGTCTAATGAGTTTGCTAGATCGAATGCGAAGAAGATGCATGCCATGAAGTCCACAGCAAGATGCAAGTCTGTATAGTCCGAATTGCAAAAGGAACCATTCTAATTACTTTTGCGCCCCACACTTATTAGCTAGCAAGTCGTCCTTGACAAGAGCACTGGCCTCGATAAGAACTTATTGTAGAGGTAAAGTCTGTTGCGGAGCCGTCATCTTGAAATCTCCGATTACAGCTGCAACAAGTCCTGACGGAGAACTGAGAAACATAGCTATCAAGACGACTAGTGTCGAGACTTGATGACTCGCCTGTATCTTGTTTGTCTTTTCCCCACGTACCATAATCCGGAAGGGCAACATCTGTTCTGATGAGCAGTTGAAGAACCCAGCGTTGAGGAAGCATGGTGTATTCAAGGACGACTTACTGTTGAGATACCATGGTTAAGGATATAGGGGCCAACACATGATACAAGAATGTCCGCCAGCATGGTCACAAAGGATGGACTGAATACCGCAGACAATCGACGTATTCGCAGCCTGCCATGCCTAAAAGGTGTTTGTTTGCAACATTACTCTCCGCAACGGATACACTATTAAAGCCATGGATTCCGCAAACAGCTCCTTATGCCGGCCATGATATACTGGCGAGCTTGAAAATTCAGTTTCGGCGATGAATGATATCCATGAGACTGAGCCGTCAATATTCTTCTTCTAGCCAGTGATGAACATGAGGCGTGAGGCCTCACCTCATTACCTCATGAATCTGAGGCCTCATGAGTATGAGGGCGACTCCCGTGAGGCCTTATAGAGTATGAGGCCTCATAGCCATGGGGTAACCCCAATTCTATGAGGCCTCACCTCATGTTCATCACTGCTTCTAGCACCATTGTTCCGGAAAGCGAAGAAGACACTTGAATCTCTCTATTTTGATCAGCAAACAGCACTGAATAGTTGGCGCTTTAAACACGACAGACAGCTTGTGGGATGCCCATTCCCCACACGATGTTGACCTTGGTGTCGGTGTCGAAAAAGAAGTCTGCGCGAACTCACCCACCCAAGCTTTGCTTCAGTACAGCAGCCTTAACTCTGGTGACGGCGCGGAGATAGTTAAAGGCGTGGTGTCCATACAAGCAAACTACGACGCAGCCTGACGAGAAGCAGCACTAGTTTGGGGGTCACGCTGCAGTGCGAGGCCTGGGAGGAATAATGCCGTCGGCCATGCGACGCGTTTGTGTCAGAAATTCGTAAGGCAAGCGGAACTGACGCGCGCAGTCAGGCGTTTCAGAGAAAAGCTTTGTCGTGTCGCCATATACCCAGTGAATATTAGAGTGAATGCGAGAGTATTGGATCCAAGAAGGGAAAAAGAAGCAGTATGTTGAACGATGTTGTCGAGAAGTGTCAACGAGAAGGAAGAGGGAAGGCTAAGGGACAAGCAGGAGCTAGAACAGCGCAGCGAGGATAAGGCCGAGCGCGTGCGGGCGCTTGTGCTGTTTTACAATCTGCACTTTGATGCATTGCGATGATGTCAGGTGATCACGTCCAGGGACAATTTCGAACCTCAACGGTTAGCGCGCTTCGATCTATCGTGCCCTCGCCTTGCTGCAACTACACGCATGAAGGCAGTCCCGCGATTTACTCGTTGCGCGTCGCATCATTTCAATTAGCCCTTCGTCTTCGTAATCATCCACAGCATGGAGAACCACTCCTATTAGAAACAGTAACCCCCCTGAGACTCTGCCTGTTTACAGGCTCGTGGTAGATCGCATGTGATCGTTTCCACCAAAAATCGGTGAAAGAGGCAAACTACTCTGTTCGCTTGTTTATGTACCGGCCTATAGTTTACAATGTTCTTGGTCAGATATGGTTTTCAAACCATATATCAGCGCAGTGTAGATTAAACACATCCGGAAAAGAACAATGAACAACAATTAGGGTCCCACTCTCACTTTGTCACTGCCATGTCTCAAATTGACGGCTTCTGAATCCTGCTGCAACAATTCGTCGGTATATCGTAAGCTTATAATATCTGCCTTTTGCTGCTTATAATCGTGCAGTAGGTCCCTATGATCATCGCTCGACAGAAATCGTTTCGTGATCGTCTCACTATCAAGGATAGTTGGGACAGAGACAAAAAGAACTCCATGTCCGCTTTCGGATGTATCCTAAACAGCAATAAAGCCAAAGTGGGTAGGTCTGTCGTGATATTGCGTTTAGTCTTAAGGCTTGCGTGGGAGCAGTTTGTCGACCCATCCTTAGTACAATGGTCAATCGAGGCGAGCGTACAGGTCACACGATTATGGGCAACATCTTCATCGCGAATGCTGTGGTTAATGGCGGTAGCAAGTCCTATAAGCTCTACTAGAAGAACTTCGTGTGCGACGGGATAATATTCCCGTTCTTTCAAAAGCTACGAGGACAAAGGAGATACCTCTTGTGGCACGAGATACGGATCACGATCCAGTGTTACCTGGCCAGATTCAGTCCTTACATCGTGATAAGACAGGCTGGCTGCCACAGTAGACGAAAGGGTGTTACAAGATCTATGCATTGTCTGGGGAGCTCGTGGGAAACGGCCGAATGGCGGGTCTCGCCAACTCGTTGCTTAGAGATTGTGTCAAACGGTGTTTCCTCGTTGGCGAATCTAGAGTTTGGCAGATCACATCCCCTAAAGTGCTAGTAAAGGTTGGGGCGGCGTTTTTAGGATCAGTCGCAGGCACCTCCACACGTGCGAATGAGTTCTCCTCTGTTGTCCGAACTAAAGTACAGTTCCGCCCTAGAACAGCACGATTGGTAGAGCTCTGGTCCATCATGGTTTATCGACGCGACTGGTTCGTCATTTGGATAGCCCGAGAACCCAGACAGGATTGGTTTCTTGTCCAATCGAACATCACCCGTCACCTCCCTGTCGTGTTTTCTCCCCTCCGCTCTAGTTCTCGTGCACAGGATCCTTCCTGAGCGATTGCGCTTTCTTTGTTCTGTCCCAGCCTACGACATCTGTTCCATGAATCCAATCCATAATCCCAATCGTACTGTAGTTCACTCTGAACTTTTCGTGATGGAGATCGTGGATAGCAGCGGGCGGCAACTTTACGAAATCGTAGCCACTGTGATCGGCTGCTGCTTCCCACAGCTCGAACGAAAGGAACATGCCGAAGGACAGAATATTTGTTCCTTTCATCGCTAGTGGTAAGAAGATGGGAAGAACATTGGCTATGATGTGCTCGAACGGATGAGCGTACTGCGCTGAGAAAGCCATAGGTGCCGTGAACTTGTGGTGTTTTTTGTGGACGTAAGCATAGATGCTAGGGTGATGGAGCAAGCGATGAATGTAATAAAAGCTGATCTCGCGTGCGGCGAGACCAAAGACGAAGTCTCCAAGTGTTGTCGCGAGTGAAGGGAAGGCCAAACTCTGTATGAATAGTGTTCGGTGCAGGCCCACAATGTATCGTAAGATAAGCTGAAGTCCAATGGAGATAAGGTCGTTCATTGCGACGTACTGAACGCAGTGCTTAATCTGCTCCCATGTTGGCTGTCGACGTTCTGATTGAATTTTGTGTCGGTTGGAGAAGTCTGGGAATAACAGGTCGATAGCTAAGTAGATAGTAGCAGGTACCCAGAAAGCCAGAAGTTGTATGCTTGCGATGAAGAAGAACTCTACGAGCGATGGTGGATATCTTGAGCAGATTTCGGACCAGAATTCTTGCATGGATGTGCTCCATAACGGTAGCAGAGCAGACATTGCGGCAGAGTAGTGATGCATTGGAAAAAAAAGAATGGAGCGATGGGGTAGACACTGGTGTGCGAGATCTTCAAACGACAAGGCGTTGGAGCCGGCGTCTATCTGAACTTGTTGACGAGTTATGACTTTCACAAGCAACCCGGCGCACATCTACGACTCGCAAGCTACTGAAGCGTTTATATCATAAGATCTGTTCCAGTGGCGGTGCCTGCTCTCAACTAGTGATTCATGACCATCTGATAAGTCGGATCAGTTCCGGTTGAGCCGGTCCTCATTCGCAAGACATATCGGGCTTTACCTCGGTACAAGGGATGCCACCGTGTCCCGTTGGAGCGACGACAGGTGCATTGGGTTTCAAGTAAGGTCGAGAGTACGATAAAATACGCGATCCGGGCAGTCAGACGTCACATTAGCAAACTCGGCTACGATCCGATCAACGAAGGAATGCTCGACTCGGCTGCCATTTCCGACAGATCGCAAGAGGAATTGTCTCAATGCAACACGCAAGATGAGATTGCACCATTTTCTTCGACAATGAGATCATTTGCTTCGCTTTCTTGGAATTGGCTTTTTTTTTACGTCGTGGACTGCGCCCTATTGTAATGTCGTACCGACGGCGCTAGGCGCTGTTTGCGTCTCTGTAACGGAAGCATTGCCAGGCCGGAAATGTCATACATTGCCAGATTGACAGGTCTGCGCTCGCGTGCTATAATTATGTCTTCCCATTCCTTACCTGGACTATGATTATCTCATGTATAGCACATCCACAATTTTGAGCCTGCGTCTTATCTTCATTCTAGCGGCAATACAATGTTGTTAAGGGGAGTGGTCGACTGCAATTAGCTTGCTAGTATTTACACCTAAGTACGATATCTAAGCGTAACATTTTTTCATAGAATTGGTCAACAAATTAGATTAATAGGCGCAAGTCGGGTAGACTAGTCTATAGACCGGCTTAGATGATCTTATTAGATTCTCGCCGGTGCTACTTAACCGGTTAGACTAAGCTTACGCGTAATCTTATAACATTAAATAAGACTATTAGAAGCCGCCGATCTCTAGGCCCCCGAATTAATGAACAGAATAACTATATCATCTCCTATAACGCATAGTTTCTCTATTTGATTTATCTACTCTACTACCTTATAAGTTTATCTTTTACACTATTACTTCCTTAATCCTCTTTACATCTAAATTAATCTTATAATTAATCTCTATAATCTCGCTTATCGATAGCTAAAAACCAAAAACCGAAAAAAAAAGCCTAGAAATGGATGCGTAATAAACTTTCTACTATTCTAAGCACTAACTCTTACTTAGACATCTCGATGCTATGAATTTTCTTCTAGGACTATCTTAAGCCTTATCTGCCATCCGTAACCTACATTATAGTCTACATTAGACCCTCGCCCTTCGTTATATATAAGCGAAGCCTTCTTAATTATTCTTACGTAGGTAACATCTATATATAAATTAATCTTATAGATTAAGGTAACATCGAGGTGTTTAAAAGACCTCTACTTTGACCGTCTCCTAGGCCTTATAGCGCGATTCTTAAGGGCAAGGGCCTTAGAACTAGTTCGACTCGATATTATAGCTAATGTGTTAGAGCACTATATAAAGTAGTCTCGACACTTACGACTATAGACTATGTCTACCTCGCGATGTATCCTAAAACCCTTAGTAGCTAATCATTTTAGATTCTACTATATCTAGCACGCGTAACTAGACGTTCTAATTTAATCTAACTAGGATAAGTTCTCTTAGTTAGATCTCCGAAGGTTACCTATATAGATAAGACGCTGTTTTTTAACTTTAAAGACTGCCTATACCTTAATCCTAATATTAGTATAATAAGCACTAACTACCGCTTAATCCTATGCCTTAAATTCGCACCTCCTAGCGCGATAGCCCTACCTATAAATCCCCGACTAATAGTCTTACCCTTACGGTCGAAGTCGGGGCTAAGATCACTTATTATCTTTAACTATACTAGTTTACCTGTATAAGGCGGATATCTTAGAGCTAATAGGCTCTCTATCTAGAAAGGCGTTAAAGTTACTACCTAGTAATAGGTAAAGTAATCGAATAATGCCTTCCTACGATAGTAGCTAGATCTACTATTACTAATGCTACTAAACTCTATAGTAGGTAAAGAGGCATGTACGAAGCTGTCATTAAGACTAGCGCTACCGCTACGGGTCTCGGACAGGATACGTATAGTTTCTACTATGCTCTTAAAGGCATAGAGACCGAGTAGTATGCTATAGATCTAATTTGCTAGTCGAATAGCTTTGTCTAGGTTATCGATAGTAAGGAGCAGAAGAATAGGGCCAAAGGATTTGTTTATAATAAGTAAGTTAGAGGCTAATAGTACTAGAATAATAGTTAGAGAAATGTAATTTGTTTCTACGTCTATCTCTCCCCTATAAAGAATTTAACCTACGCTAGAGTTAAGTATCTCCTTTAGACGCGTATACTAACATAGGTTTACTATTCGGCTATAATCCTTACTCTTCTTAGGTCCTTTAGGATAGAACTCTATAATTGCAGCTTTAAGCTCTATTACTAGAGATAGTAGCACGTGTTTGTCGACTAAGATATAGTTCTAACTAACGTAGACTTAACTAGCATTAAGACCCTTAGCCTAAAGTAGGCGCCTAGTAGCTAGATGTACGTTAGTATTTTGTATAATAATAGTAGGATTACGGCCGCTAAGTTCTAGGGTTATAGGCGTTAAGGTCTTAGCTACTTTCTTTGCGATAATCTTTCTAATAGTGTCTAATCTAGTATAGAAGATTTTGTCCCATTTATGCTCTAATAGCGTAGTGCTCTCTAGGACGGTACCTTAGACGCACTTATAAACCGACAGGTCTAGCGAAGCTTCTATAGCTTCCTATATAACGGCTGCTATATATAGCGAGCCCTCCGAAGGCTTTAATATAGTAGTATAGCCTACTGCAATAGCCCTAATAAGCGGTCCGAGTAATAACTAAATAGGGAAGTTAAATAGTCTAAGGGATAGTTAGCGTAGCGAACATCTAACTATTCCTCGTAATATAGCCTACCTAAGGATTAAAATAATACCTAGCGGCTCCTTATAGATGCGAGGTCGTATAGCTATATAGGCGAGTAGTACATTAGTTACGCTCTCTTCCTTAGCCTACTTCTTAATGCTATTAATAGTAAAGATAATGTCGTTTAACACCTACCCTATTTTAGTAAAGTAAGCCTCGTAAAGAGGCTTCCTAAGGTCGCGATATAAAGCTTTGCTTAACTACTACTCTCTATCCTTAAGAGCCTACTATAGCTTACGTAACTGTGCTATACGCTAGCTTAGAGGTTTTGTCTTTTATAAATGAAATTTAGTGTATAGCTATGTGTGTATTTTGTCGATAAGCTCGAGAGCGGTATGCCTAAAGTCTAGTAGCTTTTGTTCTATCGTAAATACTAAATATTAAGAATAAAGAACAATAGCTGTCTATTTAGGTAAGCTGTCTTGCGTGTTATTAATGACCTAATGATTCGGTAGCTTATGTAAGAATTTAATGATAGACCCGGTCAACCTCGGTCGACCTGTCACGCTGTAATATATCGTTACGCCCGGATCTTAGCTTCCGGCAGCTCCGTGTGACGCCCCCGCTATATGCTGGCCTAAGCTTGAAGTGGGGGAGGTCTACATCTTTTGTTATGCTTAGGCGCGCGGATCGTCGGACTGATCCCGTTGCATGAAAAGATTGGTGAGGAGCTCCTGTCGGGATAGAACCGTTCGGGGTGATTCCTGTTTCGTTGTGGGTATTGAATACAAGATTACCAGTCAGTCCAGCTGCACAAATACACCTGTGGAGCAAATTGCGATGATTAAACATAATATTGGCAGTTGAGCTCAGTCAACAACAGTAGTCCCATCCTTCGCCTTAAAGGTCATCAATCATGATCTTTCCCCACGCTTCTATTCTCTTCCGCTAGTGCGACTCCAACCCTGGCTCCTGGACTGACAAGATCGTGAAGCTCTGTGTTGCAGCGGCAACTCGACTTCACACAGCTTTCTCGCGACTAACAACAGTTACTCGAGTATACTTCGACAGTTTGGACTACCGTCAACCGACCGACTCTCCACGTTCACTAAATCGGACACCCGTCCAGCAAGCAATGATCATGTCAACACACCGAGAGCCGAGCGATTCGACAATGAAAGGAGAGTCGCAACACGGGATCAAGCCAGGCCTGCAGGAGACCAACACAAATGTGACAACAGCCGATCAGAACAATACGAAGACAACAAAAAAGAAGCTCTCGCCCTTCCTTGACCACTTCAATGCGCACGACCTTAAGATACTATTCCGCTGCTCGGTCGCGTTATGGGTCACTTCGCTGTTGATCGTCATCGAACCTACGTTGCAAACATTCGGAAATGCCACCTTCTTTGGCTGTATCGTTGTCTTGTTTTTGCTGCCCTCGGGAATTGTCCTCATCTTCATCCTAGGAGGCTTTACGATAGTCCTTGGTATGGCTTTAGCGTGGGCTTGGGGCGTAATTGTCATGAAAGCAGCACAAGCGACGAGGCCACAAGCTGAGACACAAGCACGATTGCACCTTTTGATTGAAGACTCAGTAAGGCTAGCAAACTCGACCGCGTACCCGGCGGCTAGCGTGCTAGTGTATGAGGGCTTCATGCTCGACACACGTGTCACTGTCACCTTTTTCTGCCTGTCGTGCTTGTTCATCTACGGGAAGTACTGTGATAAAGTAGCGTGCCTGGACAACATGAAGAGGATGTGACTATCACAGATGACGTATAGGCAGCAAAGGGCCGGAGAGGACAAGGTGGCGGGAGACAGTCGTCAGAGACGACAAGTCCACTGCTAATCCACGTCTGAGGGCCTGATACCTAACAGACTTTAAAAGTTCTCAATCGCAATAAGATTGATGATGGAAGATCTTGTAACCAGAGTATATCATTGTACGAGAGTATTGACTTTGTGCTCTTGCATTGGATCTGAGACTTGTACCTGGCTACAATGTGAGTCGCTCGGCTCGGTGCCTGGTAGCCAGCTGTCGTGCGACAGCAGCCAAGACTCGCTCAAAGTCCTCCCTAGCAGCTTTCCTATAGACTCTGTATAGATCTACGATGTTCTGTCTAGCCGTCGAATGACAAGATCAGAGAGAAAGTGCGTTTGCTCAACTACCCGTTGTGGATCAATACTTCTTGATTGTGGTTTATTCTGATATTCACAGGTCATTAGATACATTACCTACCAGCCGTTATTTTTGTGCTGCGGAAACAATGGCATGGGACGGGACTTCGGCCCGAGAGATCGATGTGGCAGCCGCTGAGTGACTCATGGATCCGAGGTGATTGCCAAGGATAAGGAAGCAGTACCGAGGTGCGCAACCAGTTCAATACAACCTGCTTCGACCTGACCAACGTTGCTTCAAGGGATGGTAGTAGGCTGAAACCAAGGACTCTTCTCCAAGCTATCTGCACAGCACTACTCGCACCATCCATCAGCATACAACATCACCATGAGTGTACCCTTCGAAATGACAACCAAGAACTTAAGCGGTCATTGGGCCCTTGTGAGAGGACCAGGATGTCTGTATGATACGCATGGCAGCTAATGGCTGATTCGTTGACCAGAACAAATTGCTCTCCGACAACACCGAGTCTGCTTTGGCGTTACAGGGCGTCAGCTGGATCACACGTAAAGCTCTGAACAAGGCTCCCGTCTCGATAACAATCTCACAATACATCGACCAAGATGGCATTTATCATCTGAACACGACACAGCAGGCTCTTGGCAGGATGGTGGTTCAAAAGGCCATTCTCGACGGCAAGGCTATAGATCTTGACCACCCTTTATTTGGCAAGGTTACCATACTCCAAGCTTGGACATCTCTCTCTGCCATCGAGACCGAGTTTCTTAGAGAAGGGTCCCAGGATGGACCACAAGAGGTGATCGAGATGAAAATCTTTCACAAATCGGATGGATGGCAGTCTCATCAGGTCTTCGGTATCGAGCTGATTGACGGCAAGAGACGACACACAAGACGTATGATTGTCAGAAATGGCTCCACGGTCTCGAGGACGAGGCTTGTCTACGACTGGAAGGGAGTGGACTGACCGCCTACATTTTCATTACATCCACGTTTCAGGCACAATCTTCTGGCGTCGATAATCAAGAGCAAGCGTTGTTTCAGACCGGTTCCCAATGGATAAGTTCAGGGGTGTATGCGTCTGACTGCATAAGCGGTTTTTGTCCCATGGTAGCCCAGGGTACCAGAACATCCCATTCAATCAATGAGAAGGACAAAAAGCGTGTGACTTGCGCGCGATGTACTCACAGAATGCTTGATGCTTGCAACATCGAGGTTAGCTTCAATTTAATCCGCTGTCACGTACAGCAATGATAAAACGGATTACATACGTTCAAAAAAGCGCGCCAGTATAGTCTAGAGTTCGACAGGTCACCCAACTATAGGACTGTAGCATCTTTGATCCACATTTTGAGCATAATGGTAGAACTGTCAAAAGTTACGTAGATCGTAGTAAACGACGATTAGTTGCAATGACGACTATAACTACGATAACGACTAAGGATTACGAGACAATCATGCCGATGCGAGTAGATAAGTACTAGCAATTAGGTTGCGTACTATTAATCGTAAGCGTTAGGTCTTCGCCGAGACTATTATTAACACTAATGTTTATAGGACTGTTTATAGTAGCGTAGGTATTTAGTACTAATCTTAGAGGAAATGAGAATAAACTATAAGTATACGCATTCCTCTACTGTTAGGCATAACATAAGACATTAAAAAAACTAGTGTCATTTCCTCTATATGCTTAGACACCTAAGTGTTCAACTTATCCTATCGTAATAGCTATTCGTTTTGTTTACTTAATACCTCTTAATGGAGATTATGCTTAGACTTAGGCTATATAGTGAAGAGAATAAGGGCTAACTTAGATCTTAAAGACATAATTTTCGTTATAAATTAGCATAGATATGTCCCTTAGTAGTAGATATGTCTACTCTCATCTCCTTTATAGAAGCTAGGACTAGATTTATTATCTTAGCGACCTAATTACGATGCATGCAATTTTGCTAGTCGAGGTACTAACTTGCTAGCATTTCTAAAAGAAATCTTGTCGCAAAGTTCTAGCGTTATATCGAAATCTTCTAACTCCTTAAGGAAAGCTAGGTAGGCTAGTAGAGGCGCATATAGAAAATCGCTCTATATAAGAATAGTTAGATTAGACCTCGCGAAAACAAGTAAGATATAGGACTTATACCGTAGAGGATATGATTATGTAGAACTAGATCTATTATCATTTTAAGTACTACTAGAGAGGAAGAAAGAGCTAGGTTAAAGTAGAAACTATAGAAGTTCTATAACATCTAATCGTAGGTTATACTAGGTCGAGCCTCTATAGCAAGGTCTCGTATCTTCTTTAAAGGCGTTACGGTCTAGCTAATAAGGTAGGGAAGGGTCCTACCTATGTAGGAGAGGATAACTCTATAAGCTAGATACTTAGAACGAGTGCCTTATAGAAGCATATTATATGTAGTTCTAGTAGTTTCGTAGGGGTAGTTAACTACTAGCTAAGGCATCCTAGTATTAACTTTATTAGTATCGATAGGGTATATAGGATAGACGAAGACTATACACTCTTAGCGGTTTAGCTCTTTCTATATAGGTTTAAGATTAGCATGCCTAAGGTACGTATTACTAGCTCTATAGCGCGTAAACAAAGTAACCCCGTTAGCCTTAAGGTTATTAAGGGCGAAGCGTATCTCTTCGAGCGTAGTATCTATATTAAGAACATTAGCTAGATTTGCGAAGAACCTAAACATCCCTAGGTTCTAATCTCGGATCTTTATAGATTCTACGTTCAGTTTTCTAGTAAGATCGAACGAAGCCTATCTATTTAGGATATACGCGCCTAGCGCTATTACCGATAAGATCGCTATCTTAATTCTAAGCTTCTTTATAATGTTTTGAGACGACTCTAAGCTCTATTAAGGCGTTAGCTAACTACTTAGGTCGCCTCCTACGGTTTAGATAGCTTATATATAGAAGTTAGGCACAAAATGGTAGTAGGTGTCGACTTTATTAAGAGGCGGTCTTTCTAGCTAGGCAACTGCTAAATTTATAGTTCTATTGATTACCTAAAAAGCTATAGTTAGCTAAAGAGGTCGTAACAAGTAAATGACAATTAGTAGCGCTAAAATAGTAACGAGGATAGCTATTATTATTTAAATCTAAGCTTAATTTCGCATCTCTCTTAAACCTTAGGGCTAGATCGGCTACCTTAGCGAGCGCCGCCCGTTAGGATAGAATCCGCTTTAGCGAAACACTTATATAGAGCTCGATTTAATCTAATGCGACTGCTGTTTATTCTACGCTATCTACTATATCCTATACATCTTTAGCAAGCTACTAACGGATAAGGCTTCTAGGGTTTTAGGACGGGCGACCTACTACTAGTTTCTCTACCGTCGCGTAGGTTTTTTCCGATATTAGATTAGTTAAATAGAAAGATAGACTATAAGCTCTCTAGCTACTACGACTAAGCGGTATACTTAGTTTTAGCGGTCTAATATGTAGAGCTCGTAAGCGTAATAACATAAAGCACAAATCTATCTATAGACACTAGTAGCGAGGATTCTTTAGAGATCGAAAATCTTATATAGCGAAGGGGGCTAGTAACGCATTAGAATATAACCTTGCCCCTCGGATTTAAGACCTAGATCTTCCCTATAAACTCTAAGTCGCAAATAGAAGTTTAGCAAAGTAAGGACTATAGAACATCGGCTAATCTTAGAGGACTAATCTCTAGTTACACCTAAGTAAGAGCGGCTACTCGCTTACGTATTGCTTATAAGAAGTGTGCGACTATAGGCTGATTTAATCGTCTATGCTAGTAGAAGCGACTATAGGGATGTTATTAGCAAAATCGGAAGGATATCTAGGGCTATAGGCTTCTAGAGCATATAGCGGCGTGCTAAGGACACTAGTACCTAAGTACCTATAAGATCCCATACGAAGGGGTTTACGATAACGTTATAATTAAAGAGACGTAAAGTATTCTACTGCTTACGCGATTTCTAAGCTAGCTAGAATATCTATTAAGATAGTCTATATGCGTAGGAGATGTTATGTTATATAAACATAATAATCTTATACTAAGGCATATCTAGACCTTTAGAACTATCTTATCTAGATTACTAGTTGTACTGCAAAGTAATAACTACTCCCTTTATCTATACGTTTGTACCTTCCTTATTAGATAGACTTATTACTATTATTTAATAGCTAAAACTCTATGCTTTACTAACGTACGCTTTAGTAGATAGAAATCGAAGCTAGTCTATAGTCCTAGTCTATAGATAAATTCTCTACGTATTATATAATTGTCTATCGGAGTAGAGATCTCTTCTAACTTTCTAGTTAGGTCGACGGAGTAGATCTAGAGCTTTTATCGATCTATAACTCTAGTTCGTAAGTCGGAAATAGTAAGTAACACATTCCCTACTTACTTAATAATTTGCCTAGGCCTAAACATAACTCGATCTTATAGCCTTTAGACTCTATCTCCTACTCTAGTAGACACTATAAGTCCTTTATAATAGAATTGCCTTATTTTCGGTGAATAATTTAGAGTTTTCTACGACTAAGCTTACCTTAAGTCTATTATATAGGCAAATTCTTCGCTTTTTGTTTTTCTATATACTACTAATAGCTCACTTCCTATAGACACTAGTAAGTGCTCTATTAGCATAAGCCTCTATCTAATGCCTTGCACGTTTAAAGTAAAGATGCTAAGTATTTGTTCTACGGGTGTAGCGTTAAGCATCGCTCTTTATAGCAATGTTAAGCATAGTAAGAGGCTAGGAAGCAGTGTAGGCAGTAGTTAATATCTAGCTAATCGATCGTAACTATTATAATTAGTAATTAAGTAATACCTCGTAGTAGTAATAGCTAAGCAATTTGATTTAATTTAATTTAATTTTCTTAAGCTATTTACTCTATAAGGGGTATAAGCTATCTATAATTAATAAGCTTTCTAGTCACTTATAATCGTTAATCTTAGTTATATAAGGAGGGCGAAGGTCTCTTAGACCTTTAACTAATCGTAAACGCCTAGTACTCTAATATGCTCTTATAAAGAGTAACTCTACACTACCTTTCCTTTATTGTTAGAGGGTATAGGCCTCCTCCGTAAGGATAATTCCCTATATTATGTTCTTCCTTATTAGCTAAACACTGCTTAGAGGCAGTTAGATTAAGGTAGTAGTTATATTATTATAGTTAGATAGGGAGCACTTCTATATTACTCTATTAGGTTCGTCCTATCTTTTGCTACTTTATATCTGCCTTTGTAATCTTCCTATTTTAATAGCGTATTCGATAGTAGCTTTAACTATAGTTAAGTCTAGCTACTATTTATCTTTCTCGCCATCGACCTTCTTCCTATCTCTTTCTACTATTAAGTATCCCCCTAGTGTATAGGATAGATCCTAGTATCTACTACTATGCGCTAACTTTATAGCTTAACTTTCATTCCTCTATTCTTAGGTAGGAAGCGTTATACTATTTCTTTTATTTTGCGTTTGTATCTATCTATGTCTATAACGTTAATTTTGCGTAGATATGTGTTAAGTCTTAATATGTTTGTTCTTAGCTAGACTAGTGTAGTAGCTACTTTTCTGCTAAGAGCGTCGTATAGCTTATTTGTATGCTTTCCTAGCAGTGCCTTATTAATCTTCTAGAGATGCTTGCCTATAGTTGCACCTAGCTAAGTAATTAATAGTTCGGAGGTTATACTCGATGATATTATTAGTATAGGGTCATCCCTATAGCAACCTAATAAGATTAATTTTTAGCTAATCGGAGTACGTCCTAGCTACAACTCCTCCTAGCGTTTCTAGCTTTCCTACCGACCTTCCCTCTACTACTACTACTACTACTATAGCTACCCGAAGCTCTCAAATTGTGCACTATAGATCTCAAGATATTTCTAAGCTATTAACTAACTTATTATAAACCTCCCGCGATAACCTTACTACTATACACGCTGAATTAGACCTTCTAGAACATGTCTATAAGTCGCGTTAGTACGCGTTCGAGATTAAGTAGAGTATTGCTCTTAAGGAGTACCTACCTACCCCTAAAAGTAAGAGGAAGACTAAATCACACGCCTGGAAGACAGAGAATTGCCTCTCTATCTCCTACGTGGCTACAGATAAACGTCGCTTCCTCTGCCTCCGTTGCTATTATCTACCTCGGAAGGTCTTCAAATTGTCGCTGCAACTGCAACCACTGGCGCTACCCTCCACCTCCGTACAGAACACGCAATTGGCGAACACGGAAACCATATCAAACCAGCACTTAAAAGACCCCCTGTCTTTGAAAGCTTTCAACCAGAAAAACGCGCTCGCTCACAGCCGGCCTATCGATTTAGAACAATTCAAAAAAGCCCTCCTGAAGTGGCGGGTCCTTGATCAAGTATCTCTCCGGAAGGCTACATCACCAAATCTACACGCGCTTGTTCAACTGTTCAATCCAGAAGCTGCTAAGCTCTATTATTCGTCTCATGACTCACTTCGGAAGAACGTTGTTGAACAGTTTCAAAAGAGCAAGGAAACAATCAAGGGTTATCGAGGAGAGTATTAAGTATGGCAGGAAGGGTGTTAGATAGTCACCGGCCACGTACGTACGAGGAATTTGGCGAGGCGACGGAGTGTTTGAGGGCATGGATACGAGCTGGTCTTATCAATCTCTGAACCAGGTGATATTATCACGACTATCACGTTTATCGCGATTATCACGATATTGATCAATTGATAGCCCCGCAGGAGCTGATCAATTGATCAGAAGACCACTATCATATCATTATCAATCACTGACCACGCTGCTGGGAAGAGCTATCTAATGAGTATTTGGAAGGATCAAAGAACGCAGGTACGAACGCCAGTACAGAACTCTACATGATCCTGGTTATGCCCTACAGAGCCTCTGACCTTGGATAATCCGGACGTTCAAGCAAATGTAGAAAGAGACTTTGCATATCCAAACACGACTAAATCTCCATCTCGCACCTCCTTCCCCTTGTACTAATCCACAGTTCTCGCAATGCTGATCGTTCGCCCTCTCTTGCCACGTTGATCAGTGGATTCCTTTTGCCAATCTTGGAATAAGCTGTAACGCGTTACCGTAGGAAATCTTGTTCCTAAGATTTCTGTCCATCTTGTACATGACAAGATCATCTTTGAAATTGGCGATTCCAGTCCCCGGCGCATACGGAAAGTCAGACCCTGAGTAATCTCAGCAACCATTATCTATAACGTATGCAGGCAATCAAACTCACCATATAGGATGTGCTCCTCAGGAACCAGACTCAGAAGCAAATCTAGCTTTTCAGGCGACGAGGACAGAGCCAGATCGTAATGAAATGACCTGAAATCGCTGTAAAACTCGTCGTATGTCACACCATCAGGCAGCACGGAATGTGGTAGACCTTTTCTGTACAGACTAACGCGCGAGAGCATCCATGGGAGATTTCCTCCAGCATGAGAGAGAATCACTGTCGTGTTGGGGAACTTCCGGCGGGTACCTGATATTATCATGTCGAGGGCGGTACGTGTGGTCTCGTGAGGGTAGTCAATCGTCGGGCCTAAGATGAGGGGATTGATCCTAGAACTATCTTCAGGGGTAGTGGGATGTATGAACACCACTGCCTTCCGCTGATTGAGAGCCTGCCAGATCGGGATGAACTCTTCGTGACCAAGATAATGGTTTCCATCCCCATAACGGGTAAACAGGGTTACCCCGTCGGCCTTGAGTACGTCCAAGGCATACTCTATCTCTGCAAGTGTCCCGTTAGTGTCGAGAAGGTTGGGCAAAGCAGCAAAGCAACCAAATTTTTGAGGTTGTGCCGCCCGCACATCGGCGCAAAATTTGTTAGTTTGGCGGGCAAGCGCCCTTGCTGTAACGTTGTTTCGCGTTATAACGGCGCCGGGCGAGGTCAAAGACAAGATGGCGGTCGAGATGTTCAACTTGGACATGAGCGCTTGGCTAGAGGAGATATTCCAGGAGGGAACAGGCCATCCGGAAGGGTCTCCGCCCTCTGCTGCAACGGCTGTGAAACTGACATCAGACTTGCGAAACGTTTGGCCTCGAACCAACATACCAGCAGCATAAAAGTCTGGTACGAAGTGATGATGAGTATCAATGAGTGCCTTGGGAGTATGACCTGCTCCCGCTTGGGTGCATAGAATAAAAGTAAGCAGCGCGAGTGTTAGAAACATCGTTCTTTTGCTAATGACTGGAATTTTCAGTATGGAGGTCTAACGGTGCGAGGAGAAGGCAGGTCGAACAAGTCGAACTTTGTGGGGCCCCACAAGAAGTTTAAGCTTATATAACCGGCTTGCTTCCACTTGCGGGGTTAAGTGGGTCACCTCCCCGGAGAGAGGAGACATGCTGGATGAGCCCGCCTGTGAGAGCCTCGGATCCATTGACCTGTTTGATTCCGCGTACTGCCAGCATCTTCATTGTTCACTGCAAGTGCAGAGACGGGAGTAGTTCCGAGACTCACTTGACGGATATTAAGAAGCAAGTGTTATGATCCGAGGCTATGCGTCGCTCGCCAAGAAAGCGACGCCAGGCAGCCGCCAGGGTTCCCCGCACTGCGTCGCTCATCGCTCATCGCTGGTCGCTAGTCGCTCGTCGCTTAGTGACTGACGACCAGCGACGTGCAATCCATCACCGGGGGAGTCGCTCCATACAATCTCATCCAAGATAGTCTGGCCATGACAAATGGTATCTTTACGAATACCTAGTAGGCACACCCGAGATACTTCCAACTTGACGACCGCAGTGGTGATATGGCATAGATCTGGAATGAATCATGTCTTCACATCTTCGGATCACATCGCGGAGCAGCTCATCCTGATGGTGAATGACAGAGTCTTAGCATGGGTTAATTGACAGTAGAATGCGCCGGAAGTCCACCTCTTGTATCCAACGATTCCGCCATCCCGGAGGATCTTGATACAATAGGTTCAGACTGATCGTGCAAAGGGGGGCTCCAGAACAACAGCGTACGCTAGATCTATCGTGTTGCGGCTATTGCTTTTGTCGTAAGATTCCTCATCATTCCCGTAGATATTCATGGCAGTTAACCAATAAATAGTGTTGTGACATGTGTTACAACGCCTTACACATGCGCTGGGCAATGGCATTTTTTCCTGACAACCATAACGTGCCGTCCGTGGATCGAACACGTACGCGAAGGAATTCCCGATCTGGCGTGGATCTGAGCACAGTCGATTGTTGAGTATCTTTACGGTCATGGTCTCATGAAAGCACAATGCAAGTTTTTGAAACCATACACGCACAAATTCTGGCTTCAGAAGCCAAGCAAAGGTATCGGAAGGAAACCACGAGAATCAATACCAGTTATATGATGCTGTGATATTCGTCAATTACTACTCGCGGCAGCTAGAGCAACGACCAATGTGTGGGGAAGTTAGAGGTCTGCTAACCGGTCAAACTTCACAGTCATGGGGTTCATAGGTAAGGGGACTCGAATTAATATTGAGCAACTTGCTATATAGGTATAGGCGCAGCGATATGATAAATATGCAGTGTCATATCCGAAAGTCATCATGCGTTCGTTGTGCGACACACTTGTTCCATGGATTATCAACCGGACACCAACGACACCAGATATCTCGATTGATACATGATGTAGAATGCCAGACCCCCAAGCATCGAAATCTTCAGAGGTGAAAAAGAGTTTGTTCCCTAGACAAACGGTCAGTACTTCCTCAGACAATTGCAGAGCAAACTGACCTTAAGACCCCAATCCTTCCACACCGGAAAGAGGCTGCGATACCAGAAATGGGCTTGCGAATACGGATAGCTCATAGCGTTCCAGCCAGCACCTCCTTCGGCATCCCTCTTGACATACCAACTCTGGCAACCCGAATTCCAAACGGTGTGGCCCAGATCTTCTTGCATCTTCAATGCGTAATCTCGTTCTGCTTCCGCCTTGATCTCAACAACATCTGTTTTACCATCCATGAAAGGCTTCAAAATTCTGAGAGCGTAATTGATCGTATTTTCTGATGCCATGATCGCTGAAGTATGGCCTGTCGCTGCATTAGGGCCCAGGACCATGAAAAAGTTGGGGAAGCCGTTCATGACTGAGCAGTTGTAAGCCTCTGGACCACCCATCTCAGCCCAGTGCTCGGTGATTGTTTTGCCGTCACGGCCGTGCACAATCATGGGGGATATGAACTCGTTCGTGCGGAAGCCATTTGCGAGGACAATCACCTGAGCCTTGATTATGCCGTCTGCGGTCCGTATCCCCTCAGGAACAATTTCGATTGCTTCCCGATCTGTCAAAGTAAGATTTGATGCGTGGAGGCTGTCGAGATAGCCACAATCGAATATGCGACGCTTGCATCCGACATCAAAATCGGGTATCAAGAGATCATGGTACTTGGCGGGGGCTGCTGAACGCATGTACTTTTCTACGGTGACTCGGCGTGCTGCCCGCATACTAGCAGCTTTCTTGGTCATTGGGAAAAGTTGGAAGTCCCACTCCGCGTAACAAAAGATCGAAAGTCTGTGCAGCCAAAGTACAAGTGGCAGATGCTTGAATGCCCATCGGAGCCACCTCGGGTAAGGCTGGTCTATGGGCGCGAAGATCCAGTGCTTGGAACGGATCATCTGGGTCAGAGATCGTGTCTGCTGAACGATCGCCGGTACGATCTGTGCAGCAGTGCAGCCATTACCGATGACAATAACATCCTTGTTCTCGAGGCTTACGTCCGTTCGCCACCTTGCCGAATGGAACATGTCACCACGGAAAGTTTCTGCGCCGGGGACATCAAGATCCCGAGGATAAACAAGTTGTCCTGCGGCAGAAAAGAGAATACTGCACTCATGAACAGCGTCTTCGTTGTTGTCGAGGTTGGTAGCGTGTATGCGCCATCGACGCTTTTCGTTTATCCACTCGCATTCTTTGACCTCCATACGAAATTTCATTTTCGACAAGAGACCATACTTCCTAGCAACCTTCAGGAGGTAGCTCTCGATTTCATTGTTGCGAGGCAGCACACGAGACCATGCTGTATTTGGCTCGTACGATAGACTGTACAATGCACTGGGAACGTCACAGGCACAGCCTTTGACAGTTAGCATATGTTCATAACAACTTGCTCTCAGAACAACTACTAACCAGGATACTGATTGATGTTCCAGGTACCACAGGGGGATCTGCTTCGCTCAAAGTAGACGATGTCTTCTTCGTTGTACCATCGCTTCAGCGAAGCACCCAGCCCGATTCCCGAGACACCGGTGCCGACGCAAGCGAACTTTGTATAGGTCATTCTGTCGTCCGTGGTGGCAGAAGCAAGGGGAAGACAAACAAAGATTGTATTGAGTAGTTGTCTTGGAACCAATCTTGCCCATGTCCACAGTATATCTAGAGACAGTATCAAGGCACAAACATGACTTGCTAAGCGAAGAAACCGAGGTCCGAAGGAACGCTCACAAGTGCACGGATCCTGAGGGTCTCAGTCGCTCGGAGCTGTCCCGGAACCCGTCCCGACCGGAATGTCCATTCAATCAATCAGCCTTCCCGTGGCCCGATCTAGCTTTTGACGCCCTTTGTAGTCTACCCGCAAGTTTTCCGTTGATCTAGTTGCGAGTGCAAGCAACCATTCCGGCCCTCCTCGCTATTGATTGTGTCAGTCAGTGCGGTCACGCGGCATGTTTTGATCGGCTTACAAGACTAGCCAGATATCTTGAAATTCCAGGCCAGAAGGTGGTTCGAGAGCGGCGGCTATAAAGTACATCGACGACGTCTTCTCCGACAGTATCAACATGTATGAGAGGCGACAAGAAGTTAGATTGATTTGTCTTGCCTTTGAACATGGGAGTTTTGATGAACCCAAGGACAGCCGTTGAGACGCGAACCTTTGGCGCATTGTGTCTGAACTTCAGCTCCGCGCGCAATGTCTTCGCAAAATGTCAGTAAGAGAGTTCTTGGCGAGATAACATGCTATTGTAGGTACGAACCTCTTGCAGAATGATCATGCCTGCCTTTGTCGCCCCATAATCAGCGAGTCCGGCCGGCGTTATCATTGCGCTCATCGAGGAGATGCCGACTATGTGACCGTGGTTTCGAGCGACCATTGCGGGCAGGAATTCCTTTGTCAAAAGAAATGGAGCGATGATGTTGGTTCGAAAGGTCATCTCGACGTCTCCATACTCTCCTTCCATCACTGTCTGACCTCGTGTGAGTCCAGCATTGTTCACCAGTACCGTCGGGTCGCCAACGTCAGCTTTGATGGCTTTGCAAATCTGCTGTATAGCAGTACTGTCGCTTAAGTCGCATTGGTAAAATCGTAGAGGGCCGTCTGCAGCGATTTCGAACAGGGGTTTGACGTAGTCCACGATGACGATGGTGGTCTGTGCATTGCGAAGAAGGAGTTGTTCAACGATGCTTAGCCCAATCCCGCTGCAGCCTCCAGTGACGACCACTATCTCTTGATTCCAATCCCAGCTATCAGCATTGTTCCAGTTGTTCAGAATTTGGTCGTTTAGAAAGTCGTGCAGTTTAAGCAAGATTCCGAGAAGCGTGAAAGTCGAGATCAGAGACGCGTACCAAGTGTCGAAAGGCCAGGCGTAGACTGTCGTGCTGAACGCCTCCCGATTGTCGAATCTCCAAAACCCCACGCTTGCCCAGATCAAAGCAGCAAGATATGGATTCAGGACCGTGGCTCGAGACCATAGAACAAGAAAATCAATGTAGAATCCCTCTCTGGGCAATTTGAACAGCGATCGCGTCATTCTGCGTTGTAGGTACGGGACAAGATACTTGGTATGATCAATAGAGTAACTAATCAGAGCATGAGAATGTTTCGCTATTCACTCTGGGGGAGGTTCATATCATGACAGTACTCTGCCGATCGGTTCCGCTGATCCTCCAAGGTCCCCGGTTATCTCGGATCGATTCCGGGCCAATACAAAACTTTTAGGAATGATGATTCGTGCTATTCATTGTTCGCATTCGTGAGACTTGACCGCTCATTTCCAAGATGATTGTTCTCAGCGTTTTCGAAAAGCTCGACCTGGTGCGGCTACTGCTTGTCGTGGGTATGTGCTAGATTGTCCATACCTGAAGGTTTCACAGCATGTTAATATGGCTCAGTCCCTCTTATTACAATTTACAACTGCTGCCGAAATATTGTGTATGCATACCAGCGAGGCCTTTCCGTACGAGAATATCTACGCGTGGCGCTTGTGCGCACGATGTTGACATGTCTGACGCCGCGACAAATCGTCGCCATTCTACCTTCCACAGAGCAGACTTTCAAAGCTTGGACGAAATCTGTCTCTCGGAGGCTACAAGCCGCGCGATGCGAACAAGTCTTTGTCACTGAAGCGCCGTCCTTCATACAAGCCAAGAACCTACATTGGATCAGACACAAGCATGTGCGCACCTCCAAAGTGCTCCTTTTCCTTCACGGCGGAGGATATAATGCGCCTTTGTCCTCGGGCCATCTTGAATGGTGTTTGCGCATGGCTGAATCGTCCCAAGGCACGCTTTCCATCGCTATTCTGGAATATTCGTTGACGCCAGAGTTCATGTATCCCACGCAACTCAAGGAAGCGCGGGATGCTTTGAGTCTCTTGCTACATACTGGGGTTCGGCCGTGCGACATATTCATCGCGGGAGACTCGGCCGGCGGAAACCTTGCTCTCGCGTTGCTATCGTTGGCCATGCACCCGCTCCCATCGGTCGATCCTCTTCATCTCGATGAACCGTTAGCTGGAGCCATATTAGTGTCACCATGGCTCACGGATGATACCACAACGCCGTCTTTCGAGCGGAATGCTTACGTTGACATGCTTTCTCCGCAACTAGTCGAGCAGAGCGCACGCATATTTCTTTCTGAGCCTATCAGGAGTGCTGAGCTTAAAAACGGTCAAGGCTGGGCATTGCCTTTGTTTGCAGGATCGGATTGGTGGAATGGCCTGGACTCAGTAGTCAAAGCCATGTACATCACGGTCGGTGCACAAGAAATGTTCCATGATCATGTCGTTGAATTCACAAAGACTTTACAGGCAGGAATCGAGTCTCGTCATTCTGCGACAAGCGTACATCTTGATGTCGGGGAAACAGAAGCGCACGACCATGTGCTCACGTTGGCGATGAGCCGCACAGAGAACAATCCACCTCTGGAAAGGATGATCATCTGGTTACGTGGGAGATTAGAAAACCCATAAGGTCTAGCGGCTATTGTCTAGTACATCCTGAATTTGTAGCATGCTTATTGACTGAATCAACCCCTGCCGATGCCGGCACTATTTACTCACACTGGGTGATGACCACCTGTTTCGAGCAACCAATTATACCGTGCTTCCAGATCTTTGACAAAAGCGCTTGATCGATCTTAGTTACAAGGACCACAGGTGCGAAAGATTGACTGTTAAATTTCAGCCGCTTACAGCGTGCTGTAATTGTTCGACATCTTATGCTATTACACCTCGACAGAATTGGAAAAGGTTAACCACATGCACATCCTAGGTGATTACGATATCTTAATGCTATATTAATGATAGTTCGAATGAAGATCCTCTAGATCTCTCCTTTAGCGAGCTCGAAGACACCGGCGGCCTCTGCCTCCTATTTAACTAGATCCTTATATTCCTTGCTTCTAATTAAGACTTCTGCTACGAACAGCTTAGTAGTAAGGTGATGGTTTAAGCGTTTGCTATCTAGTTTAGTATCCTATAAAGTCAGTAAAAGAACCTACTTAACTCCTAAGGATTACTTACTATAGTAAAGTCGTAGTAGAGTACTAGGCGAGCGATGTTAATAAAGAGGCCTCTCTACGCTAATCTATAGCTAACATAGATTCGTCTTCTACTACTAAACTACTATATACTATGCAATACATTAGTCTTATAACTATCTAGCTATCGTTCGGGCTTAAAATGTTAGTATCTTCGCATTCGTTACTAATAGCGATCTCGTTAATGATAAAGCCTATTCTAGTAGGAAATATGAAACCCTCGAAGTGGATATCTATAGTAGCGGAGTAATTAGGGCTTATCTAAAAAATCGGCCGCCATCGTAAGAGCTCTTTAATAATAGCGTAAATATAAGGCATGTTCTCTAAATCCGCTAAGCCTAGCATCCTTAAAGTGCTATCTTTGCTATAGATAGAGTTAACTTTGTTACGAGCTCGAGCAAATATATTAGGATAGTAGATAGCCGCTATTATAAAGGTGTTAAGGACTTTACAGGTAGTATCGCTTCCCGCTTCGATTAACTATATAGCGACATATATAGCGTCTTAGTCCGAGCCTATATATTTAGATTTAGGGTTAAGGGGGACATCTTATACGAAAGAAGGAGGGGTAGTACTATTCCTAATCTCTTTTCTTATAGGCTACTACCATTTATAGTAGATGTTATAGTTCTATTCCCTAATCTTCTCCTAGTAGGGACGCTAGAACTATAGAAATTGCGGTACGTTGTTAAGCTACAGAAACTAGTTAATTAAGCTCTCGCTAATGCTACCGACAAAAGTTATAACAACATCCTATAGATTACTAAGCTCTTTGCCCGATTTCATAAGTCGTTGTCCTAGAGTAATCTAGTAAACTATAGAATTTGCGTAGCAGTAATGGTGCCTAAACTACCTATAAGGTTAAAGTAGATATTTGGCCATTATCTAAGTGCTTTCGAGCTCCTACTACTTACTATACTGCTTAAGAGCTATACCGTTTAATAAGCTATATATAACTCTTCGGCGTTTAGTCTAGCTATTAGGGGGTAGGAGCAAAGATCGACTGCTCTTACTAATAATACTGCTAGCGATAGGCATCGGAGATCGACCATTAGTCTACGAGCTGCGTTTAGCGATAATCTCGTTAACTACTTAAGTACTGTTTAGAAAGATCTAGGTCTTTAATCCGAGGTAAACTGTTACTATTTCCCTATACCTTATAAGGCTTCGTTGCTACGTCTTATTAGCGATAATGTATAAACTAAACGAGAATAACTACTAACCTATTAGTGCTTAATGTCGCTACGGGCACTCTTTAGTTATAGAAGATTTCCGATTAGTAGCATTCCTCTTGGCCCTACTAGAAGGTATAGTAGGCTTCTATTCTCGGTCCTACGAAGGCCTATCGGTAGGAATATATATCGGATAGTAGTAAATAGTAAGAATAAAGAAATTGTTAGCGCTAAGACTACTATAGTTACTAGCTATGCCTATACGATGTACATAAGTTCCTTAAGGACTGCTATAGCTTTACTTAGTTACTTAGTTACTTCGTTAGTTTATATACATTTACCTAGCGTCGAAGGATTATAAAGTGTAGAGAACGTAATTAGTCGAAGATTTTCTATGCTTATAGAGGCATATTAGTAGCGTAATTGCCTACTAAGGTGCGTCGGATGCTTGCTAGTAAACTTCTAGAGTAGCACTACTAGGTAGAAGAATCCTAACCGTTTCTCTAATAACGTCGCTATAATATATAATCTTACGATATTTGACTTCGCGGTTACTAAGATCTAAGTTCGCGATCTAGCATTAATAATAACTCGCTCACTTCTTAGGCGCCTACATCTATGTTACGCTAACATTAATTTACCGTTACACCTTAACCTAGGTTCGTAACAATGGCCGTAGTAGTGCTTAAAACGATTAAAGACGAGGTCGTTAGCTAGCCTTAAGCCCTAACACCGAATAAGGTCGATATATACTATCATTTTGTTCCTAACTTCTATATAAAGGCGGTCGAGTAGGCTAGGGGTAATCCTAGCGGCTAGCCTACCCCTTCCTAGACATAGACTAAATTAGAGCGCATTATAGACAAATTAGGTGTTCGTACCGCCGTTCTCTCTATTACTACTCTAGGTGCTTATATGTTATAAGGGTAGGCTTCCTATAACTTAGCCCGTAACCTTAATCTTAAAGCGAGGAGGATTTAGGATAAACAACTAACTTAGTTCAGTTTTTTTACTAGTCTACTAAGTCTACTCGATACCAAAGCTGCTCTTAAAGAAATTCGGTTCGTAGTAGATAAGCTATACGCTAACGGAGTAACCTTATTTACTCGCTATAGACAAGGAAACACATATCTTAGCTATCTAGACTTATAACCTATGTAGGCTAAGCTAAACCGTAGAAAGTGCGTTATCTTCGTTTACCTAACTTACCTAGTTAATATAACCCCTATAAACTCCTATATGCCTTAGCCTATAATCGACTACCCCTATAAGACTATAAGGGTGGCTATAGATATAATTATGTAAGGCACTAGGGCTTAGTTCCCTAATTATAAAGTAATTCTTTCTTACGCTAGAGGAACTCTACCCTACATTATTAGCTAAATAGTAACACTACTTAGTTATACGCCTAACGTAGCTACTAGGCTCTATCTTAGAATTACTTATAAGTCGTTCTTAGAAGCATTCTATAGCTTTCATTTTAACCTTACCCTATTAAGCTTAGCTTCTATTCTACAAATGCTATTAAAGCTCGTACTATATAATTATATTCTCTATAGAGTAAGTTATCTCTTATTATACATTTTCTCTTAAGACACTTCTTACTAATAAAGATTAAAACTAGAGCGACTTTCCGTACGCACTGCTCCCTACGTATCCTACGTTCTTAGAAGAGCTTAAAAACTACGAAATGTCTTCTAAACTTTAGGACAACATTAATTTTAGGAATGTAAGATAGTTGCTACTAAATTTATCTTAAGATAAGCATAGCAGTCTAGTTTGTACACCTTACATAAGAAGAGGTATACTTCTATACATGTGTAGACATTTATCTTTAAGCTCTAAACATATTCTTACGCTATACGTAATGTTAAACTACGACTCTAAGTCCTATAAAGCTTAAAGTTCTTAGACAGTCTAGCTAAGTTACGCTTAGTATTACGTAATACTAAAAGTTGCTAAATGAATAGGGCTACGGCATGATTCACTAAAGCACCCTTATAAATTCTAGCTTTACCTAGGTAGCTCGAGATAGTTACGCTAGTCGTAAGAGCAAATCCCCTCCTTTACTTAGATCTCGACCTATATACTGTAATATAGTGGAAAACTAAGTCTTTCTCATATATAGGAGATATGTACTGTGCTAATACTTAGATTAAGTATAAGGTGAGTGGACACCGACGATCATTAGCTTTTCTAGAGGGCTACCTGCATATAACCTAGCATTGCTAAAAATTAACCTAATGGGAATGGTATGCTCGATCCACCTTTCCTACACCTTCCATCTCTAACTAAGGCTTATAAAGGTTGATTTATAGACACTCACGAGCAGAATGGGGATTTATATTTGGTCGAGCTTTGTCTGACTTCGAGATGACGGGGTATTGGAAGCAAACGATATCGCTATTAGTAGTTGCAAGACACGATTAGGTGGCGTTAACGTTCTAATTGATCATGGCAAGCTTAATGTCCCTTATCACTTCTTCTTATCCTCCATTAAATGCTACAGTCGAATTGTATCGTTCAGATTGAAGATATCCAGAAAAGGACTGTGATGGCTGTCGTGGAGTTTGATCGATGGCGGTATCTTTGTCACGCTCTCAGCCGATACGGTGCTAGTAGATCCAATTTGTCGTTTTCGTGCTTGTGGCGGTGCGTGGACATCTTTATTGTTCGTAGCTTGGTCATGCTGTGAGTCCTGGCTGTGTGATCTCTGGCCCTCAATTGACGACTCACGTTGTTCGGCATTCAATGCGTCGCAAAGCATTTGGCGCTCGGCCGGCGTGAGACGAACTTGGTCAAGGAGAGTATACAGATTCATGGATAACTTCCGCTTTTGGAGGTTTTTTTTCGACGACGAACGCCGATTGTCGAATACAGACCAAAAGCCAGGAGCTCGGACTTCGCCCGAGGTCCTGCGGGAGCTTTGACGTTTGTGGTCGGGACAGAGACGACTACGTCGCACCCCGCTGTCCCACCAGAAAGCGGAGCTAGCGAAGGGCGACCAAGCGTGGGGCGGAAGTGAGCAGTGCCTCGGACTCGATCCGCAATCGTGGACCTCGGGATGTAAAGGGTGCACGACATATGTCCGTGCATATGTGCTCGATTGTGTATCCTACCCATTCATTTCATCTGCAAACTAGATACTTCTCGTCTGTAGCGAAGATGTTCGAGTCAGAAACAGTGGCTCCTATGGAGGACGTTCATGAACCAACACTGCCCGAGGCTCCACCTTTCAACGACCAACACTGGAAAACACTCTGTAGTCTAGCTGATGCTATCATCCCTTGCGTCAATGACAAGAGCGGCCCCAATGAGGGCGAAGGACATTTTCAGCCGGCCTATTCTGTCGTCACTCGACCCAGTGACGTTGGAGATGAGCTAGCAAGGGAATATCTTGCAGAGAAACCATCTCTGATACCGGAATTCAAGGATGCTCTTGCCCGGATCGTATTCGATGGTATCAACGCAACACAGCGGCGCGAGCTGTTTCTAATCCTCTCTGTTTTGGGGTGAGTTTTTCGACAATCTCGTGGCAAGAATGGGGCTCAACATGGCATCTAGGAATCGTACCAGCACTTTTTTGACCGGTCATGTCACTCCGTTCACAGCTCTTCCGGTATATACACGAAGTGTCATCATACAAGGCTGGGAGAAGTCCCGACTGCCAATTTTGCGAAAGCTGCACAAGACATTCACACAATTGACGATTCTTGCTTGGATCAGAACCTCACCATCACTTCGTCGTGTGCTCTCCTTCCCAGAACACGTCGCAGGCCACAACTTTGGCCCTGGCTTCGACTTCAATTTCGAGCGGCCTTGGCCAACCTCGGAGAAACCTGAAGTCGCAGGCGTTGACGGGACGATCGTCCTCGAGACAGACATCCTTGTGTTAGGGAGCGGCTGTACGGGTGCTGTAGCTGCAGCGAGTTTGGCAGCTCAAGGGCTCGAGGTGATGGTTGCTGACAAGGGTTATCACTGGTCTCCCCAGTGTCTGCCTATGACAGAGGATAAAGCTCTCCACAACTTGTTCGAGAATGGTGGACTGACTGGATCCGAATCCGGAAATATTTATGCCGTGTCTGGCTCGTGCTTTGGTGGAGGGGGAACAGTCAACTGGTCCGCGTCGCTCCAGCTTCAGGAGTACGTTCGTCGGGAATGGGCATCACAATACGGTCTGCCATATTTTACCAGCAGCGCTTTTCAGGCAGATATGGATGCTGTCTGTCAGCGGATGGGCGTTGGCGTAGCGGAGGTGAAGCAGAATTTCACCAACCAGCGCCTACTTTCTGGCGCCAGGAAACTTGGCATGAATGCTTCTGTCGTTCCTCAAAACACAGGAGGAGCAGCTCATGAGTGTGGTCTATGTACTCTTGGCTGCGGAAGTTGTGGCAAAAAAGGTCCTACTGAGACGTGGCTCCCAGATGCCGCCAGGAACGGAGCTCGATTCATAGAAGGATTTTCATGCAGCCATCTTCTGTTTTCAACGGCAAGGAGCGACTGTAGGAATGGGAACAGGAGGGCGATTGGAGCTTTTGGAATATGGTCTGGACGTAAAAGCAAAGATGGCATCACTAGATCACGAAGACTCAGGATCGTCGCTCGAAGAGCAGTTGTACTTGCTACAGGTGCTCTTGCAACACCACATCTACTACAGCGTAGTGGAATTCGTAATCCTCATCTCGGCGAGCACCTCAAACTCCACCCGGTCTCGTTCTTAAGCGCTGTCTACGATGAGGACATTCGACCCTGGGAGGGAGCGATCCTGACATCTGTAGTAAAGGACTTCGAGAGTATAAGCTCTGGCTACGGCGTCAAACTGGAAGCTACCGCGATGGTACCTTCTATGTTTCTCCTCTTGTTTCCTTGGAGCTCCGGACTGGACTGGAAAACCTTCTGTGCCAAGATGCGACGCATGACCGGATACATATCGTTAGCACGCGATACAGGAGAAGGTAAGATCACGATGGATCCGAGTGATTCAAAGAAGATCCGCCTGAGTTATGACGTTAGCAAAAAGGACGGAAAGCATATTGCTACTGGTCTGGTCGCTCTCGCAAAGATACAATTTATTGAAGGTGCTCGAGAAATCCATGTGTCTGTGCCGGGCATGCATCCATACGTACGAGAGGACCGCTACGACCGACCGGGAACTGAGACAAGCACGGACCTCAATGATCCAGCGTTCTGTACTTGGTTGGCTCGGCTCGAACGGTACGCCACGATGGGAATGCCTGCGCACACTACATACGGTTCGGCCCATCAGATGGGAACAGCTCGGATGGCTGCTTCTCCCGAATTGGGCGTGGTCGATCCCCATGGTCTTGTCTGGGGTTGCGAAGCCCTATATGTGGTAGACACAAGCGTTCTTCCAGGAGCGACCGGCGTCAATCCTATGATTACAGCTATGGCCACTGCGAGGGGTATCAGTAGAGGAATCCCACAGGCCGTCAGTGGTGCGTCAGAAGCAGAGCCATCTCGTGCTAAGCTCTAGTCAACCCTCAAGCGTCGCAATCATGAGCACGAAATTTAGTCAAGTATCCAGATAGTTGAAGTATCTAGTATGTTACCAAGTGACTGTTATAGCTAGTTGTTTATACAGACTGCCGATGTTTCACGCTTTGAATTCTTGATCCTGCAAGAGGGCTTTATGATGTCCAGCCCATGGGTCAACATGCGACTCGAAATCAAATCTCTTTATGAAAGTGATTATATACTAATATCTGAAGTGATAAAGAACCAGAGGGATCCCGCACTAAAAGATCGAAGAAGTGACTTGCCTCTTAATCCCAAGGTCGAAGAACTTAAGCGCACTAGCTTTGTATGATTAGGCCAAGATAATCTGGGTATAAATCCAGGCTCAATTATATATCCGCGCTCTTAGTGAGCCGAAGTAGATGCCACTATTGACTACTCGAGGAACGACGATTTATTCCCAGTCACAGGTAAGATTTTCTTGAAAAATATTCCAACCTTGCTAATGTTCTCAAGGCTTGTAAGCATTGAAACATCTAGAATCTAGTCAGTAGATGATCCAGTGGAACGGTTGTAGGCTCACATTGGTCGGGGCGAATCACGGCCACGCATCCATGATCATTGTCAATGCCAAACAACTCATACGCATGACCATGCCCATCGTGATAGCTCTCGTCGTCGATGAAGATCATGTTGATATCTGTGGCATGTTAGGCAAGGTCTGTAGTGTGGTGATCGTCGACGTACCAGCCATCCCGTGTTCCTTGTGAATTGGGTAGTACAAAGCGGGAATGTCGCGATACAACTCGATATCAACGCGACGACCTGATAACAAAAGAAGCAGCTCGATGCCAAAATCGGAATCTTGTCCGGGTGTAGCATATTCCGTAGATGGACCCTTGACAGAGCTCAAGTAGTTGGTGACCTTCAATATTCAGTGACCTGGAAGCTTGAGATTGCGACAAACGACTCACATTTCTCAGTCTGTCTGCGCCGACCTGCTTCGTTATGTCGCCGATGAAGATAGCGATCCGCCATCGGCCATCAGACTTCAATGTTTTGGCGAACTCTAGAGGTCTTGCGTCAGACAGACGAATGACCTGGGCACTCGGGAAGCGCATGCCGACGTGCACGTTCCTGGCAGAATGATGATCACTGTTCTTCATATCGATGAGGAGAGACTCTCCATATCGAGTGTTGAGACCAGCCATGTATTTCGCACTCCGCAGGAAATGGTCTTGAAAATTCTCTGCCGCACTTTTTGCCTGTGTTGTGGTGTACAGCTGGGTAAGCGACCGGTCGAAGGCGATGAGATCGGCTGCTACCGTCGAACGTTCGGACACGTAGGTGTCCAGAACCTCAGGTCGGAGCTTACCACGAAGGATATAAGCAAGCTTCCATCCAATGTTGTAGCCGTCCTGCAAGCTGACATTCATTCCTTGACCCGCCTTTGGCGAATGGGTGTGGCATGCGTCTCCTGCTAGAAACACACGATCATATGCACTAAACTTTTCGGCAAGTCGTTGGCCGATTGAATACGCAGACCACCAAAAAGTGTGTTGTACCTCGAAATCATAGCCCTCTAGGATCGATGCGGCACGCTGGTGCAGTCCCGCGAGGGACACTTGCTTTGCATCTGTTCCTGCTGGCATCTGAACATAAAACCGCACCATGTATCCTCCCTCTCTCGGGATGATGATGATAGAACCACTGTTCGAGTGAATGGTCGCCTTTTTTCGGATGTCAGGAAAATTTGTCTTTGGAAAAATATCCATCACGCCCCAGATCGCGTTCGACGAATCACCAAGCATCTTGTAGCCGAGCGATCGACGCACACTGCTGTGGGCTCCATCACATGCCTGCCGATATACTGATCAACGCTGACAATTGCAGTGACGAAGTTCATTCTCGAAACTTACCAGCACGTACTTCGCTCGGAAGATCCTTTCCTGACCGCAATGCTCGGCAATAACTTCGACTGGATAGTCCTTCACCATACCGATCCTGGTTGTCTTGACATGGTGGGCATAGTCGATGTGCTGGTCTGAGTTGAAGCTGTACATCTTGTCGAGCAACAATTCATTGATTCTGGCTTGGTTGAGGATGACGTGGGGAAGATGGGACAAGCCCGGAGGTGTATCAGGTGCTCGCCCTGTTCGTTCGAGCTTATTGCCGCGCATGCTCCAGAATGTCAGCTCGGTAACATGGTATGCTTCACGCAGCAACTCTTCGGAGATGTTCAAGCTTTCGAATATCTCTACGGTGCGGCACGCGACTCCGTCAGCTTGCCCGATCATTAATGGTCCCTCATTCTTCTCGAGGAAACGGAAAGTGATGCCTGCTTGCGCAAGCCATATGGCAGCGCATATGCCTGCGGAGCCACTGCCACAAATGACAACTTCCGTCTCGAATATGCTCATTGTCGCTGGCAACAGATCCTGGGAGATGATTGTCGTAAGAGTCAGAATCGAGGTATTGCAATATCGAGTTGTTCTTGAATCCCGGATAAGCTTTTTCCGGATTCGAGTGATACATATGCAGGGAACCTGTCCCTTCATGTCTTCGGCTCAACGACCTGAAGTTGTGTACCGAGTTAAGCTGTACCGGGATCCATTCCGTCAACCCGCTCGAGATATCCGGATGGAAGGGCACTGATGAACAGTCATGTGATGCGTACGGGATCTATCCGTGGTCCCAAAACATCGACCGATCACAACTTCGATATTCTAAGGTGTACATTGGCAGAATATGGATCTTTCGACATGACACTGTGGCGGGCGCTTTGCTAAAGAGATGCAACGATAGATACGAAAGATCTGTTTGATTCATGGAAATGACAGCAAGTCTAGCAATAGTCGTATTGGAGGCATGGAGGCTGGACGTCATTCCGCGCAGGATCATCAGTCCTACATGAGATCCGCACGCAAACCATGATGCTGAGTCTTGGACCATCACACGACAAATTGTCTGGCTCCAAATCACACATTCGTTGGGATGTTTTCCTTCGATAGTTACATTGACGTGAAGATCCTGAGTGTGCGGGGTCGTGGGTACCTCGGTGCCACTTTCCTTGGCACGCTGCTGCAATCGCTGCTAGCGGTGGCCCAAGTTACAAAGCCTTCCTTGCCTGTGTCACATCTCTCAAGATGCCAGACCCGCTCGGCGTGTTCACCGCCAATCAATCGGAAGACCATTCTCAACAGCAAGCCATTACAGGCACTCCGGCTGAGCAAAATGAACAACGCAAAAGGCGCAAGGTTGCACAAGCGTGTGATCTTTGTCGCTCGCGGAAGAGCCGCTGTGACGGCGTGAAACCCGTATGCGGAGAATGTGCACAGCGTCCTAACCTAAGGTCGCAATGTCGTTACACTCCCAATCCGAACAGAGTTCCAGATCATGATGGATACGTTTCAGGCTTGCTGTTGCGCATCCGTGAGCTTGAGGCTCGAGAATGCAATAATGACCACCTTTCAAGTTTGCGCGCACGTATTCAGGAACTCGAATCCCTGGAACGCGCGCGTGGATCGGTCAACGCCGATCCAGCAAGTCCCCAGGACATCGGTGGTCGGGCCGAGCCAAGGGCTCCGATGGTGGCAGAAAGCGCCTTGCGAGCTGTACCATTGGCCTATTCTACTGAACAACGTCCTGCGAGCGAGCCATCCTCGGTCGACGCCATGGGAGCAGACGGCTTTGAATTTGTTGAGCGAGGGCAAGACAACTCCTTCTACGGCGGATCGTCTGCCGTTTCTTTCATGCATCAGGTTCACGCCACAATCGCTGGGCAAGTCCCCATGTTGAACGTAGAACCAGTCGCTCTTCTCAATACGTCTACAACAAGCAGTGCATCCCGCACAAGGACTCCTTCGAAACAAGCATATCTTAGCCTCCCATCGAGAGCCATTGTCGACAAGGTAATGATTACCTACTGGGAAAAAGTCCACCATCTATATCCATTCGTGAATAGAATGGTATTCGGGAAAGCTTATGATAACATATGGGTCCCGGAGGCCGCCAGAAAAGACCTTGATCTTTCAGACGTGGGCATGCTGGGGTCCAGATCATGCGGACAGGACGATATCGTATTTCACTGTGCGCTTAACTCGATGCTCGCTCTCGGCGTGCAGTTCATGGACCTACCATCAGACGAGAGAACAACACTTGGTGATATATTTGCCGATAAAGCGCGCAGCTTATGTCAGCTCGACCTTTTCGATAATGGCTCGCTAGCGATGGTGCAGTCCCTGTTGCTCATGGCGCAATACCTCCAATCTACACCATTTCCTAGCAGGTGCTGGAATTGTATCGGCATCGCTTGTCGACTTGCACAGGGCTTGGGTCTACATGTAGAGCCCAAAGAGGTACACCAAATCTTTACTGCACTGGATCTAGAGATGCGCAGACGCGTTTGGCACGGTTGTGTCATGCTCGATGCCATCGTTAGTATGACTCTGGGCAGGCCACAGATGCTTCGGGGGTCACTGCTTCTTCCGTGTCCCCGAAACATGAATGATAAGGATATGACCTATCTACCGGAACACCATCCTTCATGGCTGGACTTCTACAACGAATCGATCAAGCTCTACAGGATCCTTGCAGATGTCATGTCTCAGATATATGGCCATTCGACTGGGCAATCGGAGCAAAACAGCAAGGACAGCTTTGACATCACTTTAGACATTGATGCACAAATTACCCGATTCGAAGCCCAGGTTCCAGATCATTTGCACTGGAAGAAGGAAGTAACTTCGCGTCTGGGAGCACAGGTCGCGCAGCAGGCTTGTATCTTGCAAATTCGCCGTACACACCTTCGCATCCTGCTATATCGACCCATATTTGTTCGATTCTGCGACCACGTCTGTAAACAAGGATCAAAGCAGCCAGTGGCCGGGCCGTCAAGCTCTACCAGCTCAATTGACATCTCGTTGAGCATTATCCAATCACTCGCTCAAGCTTGCGTTGTACAGTCCGTCCAATTGATAGACACCATACACCAAAGTCTAACCTGTGACACCACCGGAGCTTGGTGGTACAGTGCTTTCTACGCTCGCGCTGCCGGCACGATTGTCCTCTTAGCGATCTTGTGTGATGCACTCAGTGAGAGAACCGGAACCGATGGTCTGAAGGCTGCTTGGGAACAATGCGACTCCGTGTTTCAACTGCTGCGGGGTTATAGTCCTGCGGTTGCAACACAACACCAAGGATTAAGAGCTCTATACCATCGTATATGCATTGTAGAGCACAAGCATAAGCACAGAGGGAGCTCACCTGCCGCCATACATGTCGACGCGCCGACGAGTGCCCCCGAACATTCTTTCTATCTTGCTGACAACATCTCCGAGGCTGCTTTCGCTAGCACAGACGATTTTTACTGGCCCATAGGCGCAGACTTCACTTTGATCAACGACATTCTTGGGATCAACGCGTAAGATAGGGGGACCAATGTTAATAGTAAAAGTATGCTTTGTTCGAGGCGCAATGCTTTCCACAACATCACACCTGGTTCTCAGACCTATCAGCCGAGGAATGTCGACAACATGAAGCAAGCAAGCAAGCGAGAGAAAGGAAGCGGGGAACGATTGGAACATATGTATACTGGGAATCCACCTGTGCGTCAGGTTAGTTTTACCACATGGAGTCTTCTCGGAACACTCTTCTTATGTTTATCTTGGCATTTCCATCCTGGGAATCGACTGTTGAATCAGAGGTGGACCTGTGAGTATGTGTATGTTATGTTATGTTATGGCGTTACAGGAATAGCGTTGTTTGTTAACCATCTTCACATACCAGCTTTGGAAGCCGGATATTTACACCGTATCCTTAACGTTTGCCAGCAGCTTTTATGCACAAGCAAGCGGCATTTGCATCCTTTACGACGGTGGCCCCTCCATACTGATATGTTTGAGGATCCCGGGAGCACAGTCGGTTGTGTTTCACGATGTCTTGATGGCGGAAATATGGCCTATTGCGGCACTAGACTGGAGATTCATGTAGAAATCGAAGAAACCTATTATGGCCAATACTTGCCAGCCCGTAGCATATGAAGAGCCGCTACCATGTAATAGCGTAAGACTGTCATTGCCACGAGACTAATTCAGAATGACTAAGCCTACGAGCTAAGAAAAGGACAAGGCATTCCGGAACGCACATATACTAGCTATAGGCCTTACGAAGTCACATCTTAACCTTTTGCATTCCTAAAGTCGCCATCCGTCTTGTTACTAGGTAAGGCGTAGAGTAGTAGCGGAAGTAGTAGGGCCTCTAACGCTAACGCATCATAATTAGCAAGGTTTCATTAAGAGATTTGCTTACGATATTAAGTAGAGGGTCGATATAGAGATGGTAGGGCTAGTATCGAGCTTAAGACGGCGACGTAGAGAGGGTTAGGGTTACTAAACACCTACTTCTACTATAACCTAATCTTCTATCTTCTACGACACTAAGCTCTTAGATTTATGCTGCTTTCTACGAAGGCAAAAGGTTCCTCTATTCCTAATAAGTCCTCGTAAGAGCTATCGAGCTACATAAGATCGATGTAGGTTAGCGCTACTCCTATAAAGCTTAGATACCTATAGCTATTTAGACGCTATAACCTCGTAAGTCCCATATAAGCTACATTACGGACATAACACGACTAACGCTAACGGTGCTCGCGTAAATGGTAGCTTAGCTATAAGTAATAGCACTTTTATAAACCACTAAATGAATACATAGCTTAGAACATAATACATTTAATAACGACCAAGATTCCTATAACTAGAACGATGCCCTATAGAGGGTGAAGCATCCTATATATACGAGTACACATATTACAGTCCTAATTAGAGCTAGTAAGGCTATAATAATCATTATATAATTACCTACTCTAATAATCGTTGTTTATATTTGCTAATAATGTGGTTCTCTAGTATAAGACATCCCCTCTAGTGTCCTTAATAGTACTAGTCTAACTAAGTAATACATAGTAACTAAGTAGTGTATAGCATAGGACAAAATCTAGTAGGAGTTGCTACTAGTATCGAACTACAAAATTAAGATAAGGAGCTAATCTAAATCCTAAGCTCGATTACTTACGTACATTAAGGCTATTATATACCTTAGTAAAATACTTTATATAGATGTTAGTAGTTAGAGTGCCCTAGATTATAACAACTATCTCCTAGGGGCTATAGGTCTTCTTAGAGGGAGTTATAGTGCAATATAAGGCATACCTTTAAACAAATTCCGTATATTTCTAGCTATTAGTGCTTAACTCCCTAGCTAGTAGAGTAGTGCTAGTTGCTAGTTCTTTTGCAATCTATAATGCTTAAGAATCCGCTCTCGTAGGCACGATAGAAACATAAGAAAAGTTCGTTACTACTAGAATTTTTGGTCTTATTAAATTTATTAACGCCTTCCTTTATACCTTATTCCTAGTCGACTCCATTAATTATAAACGTCCTTTAGACATTAGATTTACCATTCGATCTATAACTATTATTTATATAGCTCTCTTCTTAGGTATTAACAACATACTGTCTAGGGTGTTATTACTATAATCTACTTCTCTAGATTTAGTTAGGCTATTAGCAAGATTTTTAATTTGATTATTGCTATAATATTGCTAACCGAGTCTTTTAAACTAGAACTAATTTAACATCTTATTAACATAGAGATCTTCCCCTTACGTTTACGTATGTTTCGTAGATCTATCGCTATAGCGGTCTACTTCGTAAATTAATATAGCGACTTAGGAGCTATACCTAAGATGTTTGTTACTATAACTACTACTAGAACTATATTAGTCTTTACTACCATTATATTAGTAGGTTTTAGATAGGCATAATTCTTCCTATCTAAGACTAGTAATCTTTCCTTAGAGAGGTTAAATACTCTCTTAGAGCTAATGTAGTCTAAGGCTACAAAACATAGTAGTAAGGCCGCTATTTCCTTAATATAGTTTAAGAACAAGAAGATTAGTATAGTAGAGATAAACTAATATATAGGGTACCTAGAGTCGTCTCGTTAAGGCATCTAGTTTATAATTGTATACGTAACATGTTCGCATAAGCAATAAGTCTACTACTCCTATATTTATATCCTTATTTCTACTATTCTCTATACCTAGATAGTAACTTACTTATTTGCTAATGCCTAGTTTTATTCTATGCATCCTTCCTTCTATCTATAATAGCGCTAGATTTTCTGCTAAGATAATATCTTCTTAGTAGATTAATACGTAGCAATAAGCTTTCTAACGCTAGAAGTAGCGTCATCGTCTAGATTATAGACCTATGTTTCGTATAGAAAAGTCCTTTATATAGCTAGACTTATATCGTAGCTACTAACTAGTGCGGCCTTAATCTTAAGTTTAACTTATACCTTAATAGTGCTACTAAGAATGCGTTAATTTTAGATATTAAGGGATAGATTAGCTATAGGCAATACTATTTTATGTTCTTATAGTTAGTAGAGTAGTACTGTTGTTTACTAAGAAGGTCATCTCTAAAGGAAAGGTTCTCTCTTATACTTAGCCTATAGTCTTTACTAATATCTTCGATAATCTAGCCTTAAGTCTTAGGATATCTAAATAGCGTCAAAAACTCTATCTATCGATTAAGTATCTTTACTTTCTATGTCTATCATTCTAGATATAGAAGATTATCGATTTTGCGCTAGATATGCTTCTTCTAATAGACTTTGTAGTTAGAAACATAATGCGACGTTACCTTCCTTAAACGGATTTCGTAGGAGAGACAAGCTTATATAAGGGTTCCTATAATCCTACATTATTCCCCTTAATTATCTTATTCTATTTTACGAACTACTATAGGAATACATTTATCCTATAGATTAGTACTACTAGCATAGTAGCTATAATAGTATAGGGCGCATTATACTATAATAGCTAACCTAGCATAAGGCTTAATAGCGCCTTAATAATTACTAGAACATAATAGGTAGGCCAAAATATAGGTAGATCTTGTAGAGCCTAGTTAAAGTATATATGTATTTGAAGATAACCTAGTGCACTATACTAAGGAGTTATTAAAGGACTACCCTAGCAAATATAATTAGACTAATAATCTAATAACTCTAACTCTAAGGAACTATAATGATGGTGCACTTAGAGGGAGCATAACAAAGACATAGAAGTGTATACCTACCGAGAATGTGCTATATTCATTGCTTACATTTGTTTTTAGACTATATAGCTTAGATGTTAGGTATCCTATTATCCTAGACTATATCGTGTTCTCTATAATACCTTCTAATCTAGCTAGCTTTTAGGAGTCTATCTATGCTACTCTAATGACGTAGATGTAAGCGAGAAAGGCATAAACATACGTACTATATCCTATGTCGTCGCTATATAGGACAAGCGTTATAGAGTCTATATCTCTATGCTACTACTAAGGGTAGTCTACGAGTACCTAGATAGTCTAGACATACGAGATAAAAAATCGCCATCTATTATTGCGCTTATAGAGAGGCTAGAATCTAGCTATTAAGTAGAGCGATACATAAATACTAATAACTATACGTTCTAACTAGTAGTATAAGCAAAATTACTTACTAAAGTAATAATACTATATTAAAGAGTGAAGGCAAACTTCCTATTACGCATGCCTAATACCTAGCTATAAAAGATAGAAAGTTAAGTCTAAGATTACGTAAGTAGGTAGCTAGAATAAATAGAGCCTCGCGTTTACTTTCTTCTAATGCCTATCTTTATTCCTTTAAAGTACTTATTAACTATCTACTTCTTTAACATTTCTACTATCTAAGACTTCACCCTTTAAGGCTTTACCCTCTTACGCTTTAGATTTTAAGGCTTTAGTTCTCTTACTTTCCTTCCTCTATCTCTACGTTAGCACATTTCTATAATGTTAGAGACTATCTATGACGAAAGACATACTACTAATAACCTAATGCGCAAGTTTATAATCTAATTTAGTAATGGCCTAATCTTGCCCTTAGCCCTAATAGTAAGCCTCTCCTCCCTTATCTTATTAGGCCTAGTTATCTTCGCCTAACTAGCTAGATTATCTTTTGACGCCATTAGTATAGGATCGTCTTCTTTTCTAGCTACCTTAATAGACGCGGCCTAATATATAGTAGCGTTAGTGCGTAAAAATATAGAAATAGAAGAATGCATTTAGGGAAAGAATAATAGATTTATAATATCTATGCAAGATATAGGATTAAGAAAATGCATACGTTTATAGAGGTAAAGAGATTAAATAGAATCCTAAGATGTAGGTTAAGGTAGGTTAGGTACTAAAAGATGCCCCCCTCTACTTTATTAACTTATACTAAAGCTTCTTGCGTTATAGTCTATAACGGACTTTAAGCTTAACCTTATAAACCCGCATCGTGCTAGCGCTAGGATCGAGGGTCTAGTAATTAGATTGTCGTAGCTACGAGGTATATATACATTGTTATGAAAAGCATTAGAACGCTACAAAGTTTAATGCTAGCTACTAACTAGAACGATTAAATAAGTAGGATTCTACCTATAACTCTATACTCTAGATTTAGGTGCATAACTAATGCACTATTTACCTTAGACGGCATTACCATTATTATCCTAAGTACCTTAGTTATAGTAAATCGCCGTTATAGGGAATCCGTTTAGGAACTCTATCGTTAGTGCTTACTACATCTTCTTATAGATAAAATTGTAGTAGGGATAAGCTATGACAATGTAAGAGATATAGAGTTTACTAACCCTATTAGAGCGTAGTTTTCGTTTAATAGTAGGTAGGATACGACTATAGTGCAATGCCGTCTTAAAGTAAGAATAATGGTATCCCTAGGTAATTAGGATATATCTCATATTTTTAAAGTCTTAAAATTAAGTTAGTATACGTACCATTAGTAACAATAGTTTTTGTCTATTAGAATAGACTATTACCTATTAGGAGACTAGATATTACTACGCTATATAAAGAACTAGGATAGTATCGCTACGCGTATATGCGCAAGTAGGTCTAAGATAAACTATGTAGTAATTATAGTAGTAGCCTTACTTATAAAATAATCCTTGCCCTTAACTATTGCAACTATAAAGCTAAATGGCATAAACTTACTAATCTGCCTAGTGCCGGTTTTGCTTCTAATAGGCACAAAAATCATTAACTTATTACTAGCATCATAGGTTATAAGCGATCCTACCTTAGTAATTATATTCTTAATATTATTAGCTACAATAGGGATTTAATCTTTGATTTTAAGGTAGTAACGTTATTTATAGTATATTACGTCGCTAAGGGCGTAGACAGAATTGTCGGCGATAGATAAGATACGTATGTTCTCGTCGACTCTAATCTAGCCGTCGTTATCTAGGGTGTTATAGGGCATAAAGGAAGTGTTTATAATGTTACCTACTATCGAGATAACTAGAGCCACTTCTAGAGTCCTACTATCATTAAGGTAAGTAATAGATTTTCCGTTCTTATACGTTATCTTATTAACTCGAGTAGAGTAGACAATCTTAATATCTAAGTTCTTAAGACTTATATAAGCGGATCTAGTAGCTAAGGCTTTAAGGTTAAGGAGAACCTAGGCGTACGAAGAGATTAGGGTAACTTTAGTTTTAGGATATGCTTAAGTAATCTTACTAGCGCTTTCAACACCTACTAGTCCTACGCTAATAATAATAATACTATTAGTAGCTACGACTCTCTTCTATGCTACCTCGACTTTTTAGCTAATATCTACTCTAGTAGTTTTAAAAGGAATAGCCTCCTAACTAATAGTTCCTAGTGTCGTTAAACCTAACGCGACGACTAAATAATCGTATAGAATCTCCTTTCTACTCTTAACGCGCACTACTTTAGTAGAAGTGTTAATAGATTTAGTATAATCCTAGACAAAAGTAAATCTAGTAGTAGGATACTGCTTAAATTTATCTATAACAGGAATTAAGTATTAGTCGACTCTAGCCTCCTTTAGCTTAGCGATAATTCGTAGCGAGGTAATATTATAGTAGAAGACGTTAGAAGGGTCGATTAGAGTAACCTTTGAATTAGGTACTTACTTAAGTACTTAGTAAGCGACTTTTGTTCCTACGTACGAGCCGCCAATAATAACGACGTACGACATAATAATAATTTCAAGGTTTTAGTAGTATATAAGATTATGGCGCTAGAATTTAATGTAGGGCCTAAGACAAAAGTGAATAGCATAAAGACTCGTTAATTAGGCGAGGAGAAGCGCTAGGCTATAGTATAGAAAATGTAGGAAGCTACTAGGGGAAATACTTATCTCTCTATTCTATGTAGTAAAAAAAGTTCTGTATAGGGAAATTCTTTCTATCGCGCGCGACAATAATCGCTTAGGATATAAATTAGCGCGCTAGCTAGCTATCTAATCATTTAGTCTTAGATTGGGTCTAATTATGTTCTGCGCTTATAATTTATATACCAAGCTTTGCGGAATAGGGCGCTAAATTTAATGATGGATAAGTAGGTTTACGTTACTAAGCCGTATTAGCCTTAAGGGTCTATAGTCGTAGGGGTAATAGAAGTTTTTATAGGCAATTTAATCTATACCTTAATTATAAGTAGCCTAAGCTCAATTTCTCATTAATTCTAAAGACATCTTATTATAGCTAGGTAGATTGCTTAACTATATCGTTATGCTAAGATACTAGAATGTGCTATAGCGTTAACTAAGTATCTTTTCTAGAAAGACAAGATTATGCGCGACCTTCTAGTACCCCTAAGTTAGTAGACATATTTAAACGGCCTTCTTAAGGATTAACTTACTACAAAAAGGTACCTTAAAGCCTAGAAATGAAATCAAAAAGTAACTAGAATATTATAGTAGAAGATAAAACGTTATAATACGCCTTACTTCTATTACCTTTCTACTTTCCCTCTAAGTTAGTAAGCCTCTAAAGGTAGTCGAAGAAATTTAAGAAAATAATAGCTAGAAAGTAAAGAGGATAGTAGAAAGAATAAGGAAGAACTAAATAGCGAGCATAAGGCTTAAGCGTAGGTATAAGTAAACTAAACCCCTACAAAATAAGAATAAGGAGGTATAAGGAGATGTAACTTATTATGTACTTTTATAAGTAGTTATATCTATAGCTCGTCTAAACCTCTATCTATTGCCCGTGCGTAGATAAGCTTTATCCTCTAGGATTTCGTCCTAGCTCTTAGTTATAACATTGTTTTAGCTAAGTTAGAGTTCTACTCTACTTAGTCTAAAATCTGTCTTAGTCCTACTAAGCAACTAGTAGCTATCTTTATAGTTATAATCCTCTTAGAGGCTCCTATAGTATATGTAAGGAGCAAGTAGAAGAGCAATCTAAACACTTATCTAAATCTAATGTAATCTACTAGCGAGATAAGAATAAGGCTCGCTCTATATAGCTATATACGACTCTTTAGTAGAGTTATATAGGAGATCTAACGAAAATTTATTCAGTACTAGCAACGGTTCCTTATAGTAGTTATAATACGAGTTAAGACTTATTTACCTAGTATAGAACGGCGCGTAGAAGATAGACGACGATAGAAGCATTAAGAGTCTAGGGTGCGCTAGTAGTAAGAGACGATCTATAAACATTATAGGAAGAGTCTAACTAAAAGTTATACTCTTATAGTAGGGTTATTAATAAGAAAGTCCGAGACTACTACTTTACCTAGTACTATCTATTTAAGCTATTTAACGAGTTTAGAGGAATATGCCGTTTATTATTATAGCTTCTATAACTATGTCCTCTAACTTATTCTAATTATATGCTATCTACTATTAAGTCTTGCTATGCCGCACTTCTTATTAGAATCCTACTATACACTAACATAATTATAAGAACGTCCTTAGGGACTAGCTATCTATAGGCACTATAGAGAGAATAATACGAGGTATAACCTCTATATTTATATAAAGTCTTTATTACTATTAGGTAGTTATTATTATGTTAAAACACTTATAGATAAGGTAATTCTTATATTAACTACCTATAACGACCACTATAGATAGCTAGTCGACATATAGGCCTTAAATCTAGTAATAGACTTATATAGAGGTACTAAAATAGGTCTTTCTTATTGTTACTACTAGCTACTATCTCTATAAGATAGCTATTAAAGTGTTATCTTCTCTACCTTATCTATCTACTATATATAAACCTATTATTATAATATAGTAGTTAGGGTAATAGATGTAGTAAGAGGAAGTTAGGTAAT